ATTCACTGGGTGTGGACAAAGTATAATGACATGAGTCCACCATTACAGCATCTTATGAGCAGTTTCACTGCCTTGAAAATCATCTGTGCTGCACCTTCTCATACCTCCCTGCCCCCAACCCCTAGCAGCCATTGATCTTCTTACTGTCTCCATAGTTTTGCTTTTTCCAGAATGTCACATAGTTGGAATCATACAGTTTGAAGCCTTTTCAAATTGGCTTCCTTCACTTAAGAATGTGCATTTAATTTTCCTCTGTGTCTTTTCATGGCTCGTTTCTTTTTAGCACTGGGTAACATTCCATTGTGTGGATGCACCACAGTTATTTCTTTTTTTTACCCCCTCACCTTCTCAGAGACATATTGGTTGCTTGGGAAGCTTTTTCAACCCTGAAACCACTCCTGGGAGAAGTGATGGCTCATTTCTTGGTCCTGTACTACCGCACCCCACTCTTTTGCTTCATGGCATCAATACACATTACTAAACTTATTTCCTGTCTCCTAAGCTCTTTGTCTTATCATTGTGCTCCCAATATCTAGTCCAGTAGGCACTCAAAATAATTGCTAAATGGATAAACAAAACAAAACTTCCTTTTCATACAAGAGAATTTGTAGCTTTGAAGAGCAAGAAAAATATGAAATGAAGACAACCAACTTTTTTTTCACTTATGTCCTATATATTGAGCACTGTCCTAAAGACATTTATTATAACATTTAGTGCTCAAGAAATCCAATGAGGTAGGCATTGGAATCCCTCATTTGCCAATGAGGAAACAGAAGCTTAAAGAAAATAAGTCACTTGCCCAACCACACATGTAAACAAACTGGCAGCTAGAACAGAAAGCAGATTTCTCTGACTGGAGAGGGTAGGTGCTTTGTTAAAAACATCAAACAGCAATCAATGACAGAGAAAACATTTAAATTTAGCCACCAAGTTGAAAAAACGAAAACGTTCCGTTTTCAAATCAAAGGTCACTTTTCCTTATGACCAAAACTGGCTCTTTTGAAAGAGCCCAGGTGAAAACATTTCATCATGTTTCTTTGCCTCTTGCTCATGTCGGTAAGCATTCCTGCTTTTCTCTTTGCTATTCTGATTTCTCTCCACTCCAAGGGCAGAGGTCTTTAACCTTGGTGTTACAAGTTCCAAAGAGGATAAAGGACTACAGTTGCAGAAAGTGCTCTCTGAAAATCTTTTGTTTAGTCTTTTTTTTTTTTTTCTTAAGAGCAGCAAATCTTTTTTTTTTTCATTGAACACATATTTTTATCGAAGACTTTCAATGTGCCGGGTATTGAGAGAGGGATTGGTGTACAGTGATGAACCAGGTACCCAACATGACATTGTAGCCTAGAGGGAATCTTTTGAAGGTCAAAAGAGTTAAGGTCGGTGGAAGTCCTTGATAGGCTCTGGAACTAGAAGGGTTATTACTTGTCTGGTTATGAATTGGCTCCCAGCAAATGGCTTTCATGGTCTCTTGTCATTGTCGGCTTGCCTGGGCGCAGCGGAGTGGCTCTCACCTCCCAAGGCTGTAGTCAGATGCTGACTGCCTGGGGCCACTTACGTGGCTGGCGCTTGATGCCAGCAGTGGTCTGGGGGTTCAGCTGGGTGGCGTCACGTAGTCACCCATGCGACTTGGACTTCTTTTCACTGTGTGGTGGCTGGGTTCTGACAGGGAGGGCTCATCACAGTTCAGGATCTGGTCCTCAGCTTAAAATACCCTCAAAGTCCATTTTGTCAGGCAGGGCTTCCACGGGAAGGCTCATGTCCCTGCTTACCCCACTGGGGTGTCTCTCGCCATTCTCTGCCTTCTCGAGCACGCTCCAGCCACAAGTCCTTCCCCTTGTCCTCCCAATGCTCCACTGAAGGGGCTGTTTCCTCTACCTGAAACACTCTCCTTCCTTTCCTACGGCCTATCTCCCCAACTCCCACCTCTCCCTAATTTTTTTTTTTTGAGTGTTTCATTCTGCCTCCCAGCCTACAGTACAGTGCCATCTTATTCACTTTTCACAGTTTAGCCCAAATTATTATTCCTTCAAAAGCAGGACCCCCCCCCCATTTTTTTAACACAGGGTCTCACTCTGTTGCTTGGGCTAGAGTGCAGTGGCTTCATCATAGCTCACTGCAACATCCAACTCCTGGGCTCAAGTGATCCTCCTTCCTCAGCCTCCCAAGTAGCTGGAACTTCAGGCACACACCATCTGGCCTGGATAATTTTAAAAAATGTTTTCGGAGACAGGGGTCTTGCTATGTTACCCAGGCTGGTCTCGAACTCCTGGTCTCAAGTGATCCTCCTACCTTGGTCTACCAACGTGCTGAGATTACAGGTGTGAGCCATGGTGCCAGTCCTAAAAGCAGCAAATCTCTAAAGTTTAACTATCTGTTCTCCCATTTATTTTTCTTGACTTTATTTTGAAATAATTATAGACTCACAGGAAGTTGCAAAAATCTTATAGTCCTGTGTACTCATCATCTGGCTTCTCCCAATGATGATATATGGTGGCTATAGCTAAAATTAAACCCAGGACATTGACATTGGTACAATACTGTTACTAGACTACTACAATTCCCACCACCCAAAAAAAGAAAAACATATAAAAGATTTTCTTTTACAAAATTATGGACATAATTTATGTAAGGTTTTTCCCTTTTATTCTGTGTAGTGGGTAAGGCTGGGTCCCAGGTCTTGTGATAACAATGGGCTCCCCTCCCTATCGTTCTTGTAAAATTATATGGGTTTAGAAAATAATCTTCTTAATATATTTTACATTAACAGAGGACATTTTAGAAATTCTTCTGTGATAAACCCAAAATGACCCAGGGAAAAGTACACATTAGAGCAGAAATTTGGCAAAAGAACAGACACTTATCGAGCCTTTGCTATATGCCAAGGACTTTGCCAAACACAGGAACACAGTGATGCAAAGACACAGTCCTTTCCTCAAAGGGTTCACGAACTGGTAGCATGCGTGAGATGCAAGAAAAATGAATTTGAAAAAAAAGACTTCTTACTGAAACCTGGGACAAATGGCTGCTTTGTGTGTCAGCAAAGAGACTGAAGTACATTTTGGCCTAAAATCAGTAGCTGATTCTAGTGAACCAAAAAGAAGGGCTATCATTGCTAAAAGTTAGGCATAAGTGGATAATCTCTTGGAGGTACTAGGAAAATAAAGGAGACTGGCTAGAAAAGGATCGAACTCAAGCAAATGGCCCAGGCTGGGACCCATCTGTGTTTCTTCTGCATCCTGAAGGCCACACCTCAAATGCCTTCTGGCTTTGATGTCATCTCCAAGCCATCTGAATAAATCCTCCTCCTTCTAAAAGAGTTCCTTATGTGCCCTTTTGCCAGCCAACTTTTATCATCCCTCCACCTCTCACATCTAGCATATGAATGTTTCTCATTACCACCAGTCCTCTGTTCTCCCTAGCCCAACACAGCGCCTCAGCTGGGACTTCAGGCCAGCCACCTTGCCAGCTAATTAAAAAAAAAAATTTTTTTAGAGATGGGGTCTTGCTATGTTGCCCAGGCTGGTCTCAAATTCCTGGGCTCAAGCAATCCTCCTGCCTCAGCCTCCCAAAGTGCTGGGCTACTGTCTTATAGCTCCACTACTGTATTCATGTTTTAATTGTGTCTCCAAAGAAAATGTTTCTTAAACTTAAGGACTCCTCCTTCTCTTAAGCTATAGTTTGGATGTTGGTCCTCCAAACCTGGTATTGTTATCCTGCCCCCTGGGGAGACTGCCTTCCCTGCCAGTTTGAGGCTACTGAGCTTTATGTTTAGGAGACACTTCCTTGCAATGAATAACATAACTGATGATAACTGGAAGAGTAGACTAGCTAGGTTGAGAGGCATTTTAAAATATAGGATCTAAAGGGACTTGAGAGAGTGAGATTCCGCTATCTAACTTCCTAGGAGGAATTCAGAGGATACCCACAGGATAACACTCAGAGAGACCTGGGGAAGGTTTCAACAATCAACCCCAGAAACAAAGCTTGGGGCCCATGAAATGTACAATGACGAGAGATTATATGACTTTTTTTTTTTAATTCATCAAGTTACTAGGCAATAAAAGGTTTTTTTTTTTAAATCTGCATTCTTTGATTATTGAAATTGTACATTTTTCTCATGCATCTCTTCTTTGGGAATTATCTGATCATTTCCTTTGCCTTTTTTTTCTTGGAGGGGGTGGCTTTTTTTTTTTAAATGTTCTTTATACATTAAAGATAGCAATTGTTTATAATAAATATGGCACCCCAGCTTGTGACTTTCAATCTTGTTTAAAATGTTTTTGGCTGATTTTTAAAATTTGTACTCAAAGTACCAGTCTTCATGATATTTTATTCTTTTCTTTTTTCATCATGTTTGCATTATGATGTATTAAACTTATGGCGCATTTTTAATCTGCAAATCAGAAAGATCAACTTTGAAAGAGACCAATTATAGGAAAAGAAATTCATCATCATGACAGAAAAAGAGTAATTGTATTCTTAAAAGTACAAAAATATTAAAACCCTGAAGAGCCCTTCAGAAGAGCAATGCAAAATATTTCATGTACATCTGAGTAATATATACTTCACAACTGCATCTCACCCCACCTCCCAAAGTCTTGTATTGATCTGTGTGATTGATTTGAAAGCCATCATCATGTAGAAATGCAAGAATCAGGCAAGTCAAGTACAAGAATGAAGCCAGATGGTTCTATAAAACCCAAAGTGAAAAAACATATAGACCAGATGGCTCTATAAAACCCAAAGTGAAAAGACATATAGAATAGAATTTAAACTGTTTAACCATTCCCACAGTAATGAATGGATGTTTTTAAAGAAATCTTTTTTTTAAAGAAGAAATTATCTACAATATTCCAATTGGAAGAAGATATTTTGGACAAGATGACTCCAGTCACGTGGAAGTTTAGTTTTATTATAGGCACTTTATGCAAGTATTTCAATACTTTTTGCTATTTCTATGATCTTTTAGCAAGGCAGTTACAGTCCAAATGAAAAAAATATAAAACAAAATTACACACTTTATTTAAAAAGTCTACTTAAAATTCTTTAATAAGTTTTATAATACAATTAAAGCCATTATTTCCTCCCATTTGATGATGTTTCCCTTTCTGCTCCCTTAATTATGAAGTCTCTGAAGACACTGATCTTGATGGGATGATCTTCAATTGCAGCAGGAAACGTTAAACACATAACTCTTCATCGTCCAGTAAGTGCTTGCTTTTTAACTTTGGTTAAATGCCATATTTAAAAACAAATATTAAAAAATATTTAACATCTCATACGGTCACAGTTCACTGGCGCTTTGCTCCAGCCTGGACACTGACCATTGAAAAGTAGATGCCTTTCTGCGCCAGCAGCTGTTGATGCGTGCCGTGCTCCTTCACTTTGCCGTTCTGAAGCACCACGATCAAGTCTGCGCTCTGCACGGTGGACAGGCGGTGGGCGATCACAATGCACGTGCGGCCTTCTCTGGCTTTGTCCAGGGCTTCTTGGACAACCTGTTCCACAGTCACATAAATTAATTCTGTTAATAACAGTCCTTTCCCTTTAAAGCTTCCTCCATGAGAGGTCCCAGGATTAATTTCTCTAGCAATAGGTCCTTCTTTAAGAATGGTGCCAGCGAACTATAACACAGATTTTTAGAGAGCAAAGGATTTGTCAGATCGGAAGATAACTGAACCCTAATTTGGATTAGCTCTGAGGCAGGATTTACCTGTCCTTAAAGTTTAGGGCAGGAAATGCTGTCCATCAAATCATTTAAAAACATTTGCTAATGTGTCTAGTCACACAGCATCCTTAAAAGCAGACCTCAAATCCAGCTCCACAACAAATTCAGGAAGGCTGAGCAAAGGCCAAACACCGACTCCTTGAATTTTTAAGTTATTTTCAAGATAGGGAACGTCTCATAATGAGTGTGTCTTTCAGGTATCAGAATTCTTAACCTTTTCTCAAATTGAAAATGATTGCTAATGTTTTTCTTAAGGTACAGCCAGACTTGGACACTGTGTCACCCTCTCCCTTTTCCATGTGGCTGCTGAGGAGATGCTGCCAGTACAAGTGGGAGATAACGCCTCCGAAACGCAGCTTCTTGGGTCAACACAAAGTGATCCAGGGCTGGTTTTCGGAGTATATGTGCTATAAGACCCATCTGCCTTGTGTCATTTTAGCTCTTGTGAATAACAGCACAGAAAGTGTTTAAAAGTTACACTGAACAGTGATATAAGCAGCAAGCAACAATCTGGCTCAATTTTGTTCTCTACTGTGGAAGATAAAAGCATGTATTTAAACCTTTGCAGGACGAATGATTCAAGTATGAATGAGTCCAGTTTAAATTCTTACCTTTTCACTTTCTGTATCCAGAGCTGATGTAGCTTCATCCAAAAGCAAAATATGAGGCTGTCTAACGAGGGCACGAGCTATGGCAATGCGTTGTTTTTGCCCACCAGAGAGCTGAGTTCCTTTGTCTCCTACTCTGGTGTTATATTTCTGTAAACAGGATTTTGTTATTATGAAAGTAGAACTGATAGTAAAATTCTAACAAATAGTTTGCTTAAAGAAAATAGGATAACCACTCCACTCCCATATACACCAAACATTTAGGATTAGAAGCTAAGGATGGGTTCATAGAGAATTAAATACAGAACAAAAATTGCTCTATATGGCAAGTTTAATCTTTCTTTTTGAAAATAGACATTTGGGCCTTAAGATGATATGTTTTAGTATAAACAAGCCAGCATATCTTTTTAGGAAGAATACTGTTGCTATGTTAGTATCTTCCATCTTCTGATTTCATTACATTTGGGACAAAGATTGGCAGGAGAAAGGATATTTGATTTGAACAGCCTATTCATAATAAAATAATTGAGGTTCATCTTATTTATAACCAGCAGGTGATGCTCTTTGCATGATTTTAAAGTGAGGGAAGAGAAAATTCTTGGGATGTTAGACTTTTGGTATTTGTTTTTATGAAACTATCTTTAACACTTCATTTTCATAGATGCTAAGGAATTCTATTTTGGTATCTAATTTTGAAAACTAAAATATCCTTTTAAAAAACTTGCTTTTAGAGTTCTTTCAAAATTCTTGCTATATTTTTCATCACAGTAGGTAACTGTCAGCAACTATTCACTATGACATTAGGGACAAGAATTAAAGGGTGTGGAGAGCAGGACAGAAACGGGATGTGACACCCTGTGTAACCTAGAAAACCCCACCGTCTCATTATTTTCAGGTCCTTGTCAGGCTGAAATTTTAGTTGAACTGTGGGCTTTGATTCTGACACCCAGAGTTTGGTTATAAAATCCGTGTTCTATGCAGTGTTGCCTATTTTTATTTGCTGCATTTGGTCACGTTAGCTCTAGGGCACTCAGACTGCGGACTCTCAGTACTGATGGAGTGAGAAGACCCCAGGTGAGGTTTTGGCAGGTGCCTGGGACTGGCTCTACCCCGGAGCTGTGGCTGCCTCAGAAGGCAGGAGCACTGTGCAGGGGTGGCCAGGTTGCACTGATAAAGTACTGATGCTCTTGAGGCAGGTAAAAGCAGCATTGTATATAACCCTGTGGGACGGAGATAACTAAACCAGCCATCTGCTGGGTAAAGCAAATCCTATTACTAATTACTCAGGAAAAGAAATGGATCCTCAGACAGGTAATAGGACTTAGGAGGTTTTGCCCTCTCTCTCCTGGTCTAGACCCTGAGGGAAAGAATCGTGATATCTACAGATGTGTTCTGTGTGACAGTAACCAGGAATCCAGAAAGGTGGGGTCCCTGTGGCAGACAAACACCAGATATATTTAAGCAAGATATATTTCAGAAGCTAGATAATAATTACTCTCTGGGCTGGGTACAGTGGCTCACGCCTGTAATCCTAGCACTCTGGGAGGCCAGGGCAGGAGGATCACTCAAGGTCAGGAGTTCGAGACCAGCCTGAGCAAGCACAAGACCCTGCCTCTACTAAAAATAGAAAGACATTAATTGGCCAACTAAAAATATATAGAAAAAATTAGCCAGGCATGGTGGCATATGCCTGTAGTCCCAGCTACTCAGGAGGCTGAGGCAGAAAGATTGCTTGAGCCCAGGAGTTTGAGGTTGCTGTGAACTAGGCTGATGCCACGACACTCTAGCCCAGACAATAGAGTGACACTCTGTCTCAAAAAAAAAAAAAGTTACTCCTGTGTTTGTGTTTTGTTAACCCCTAGCCCAGTGCCTCTCTAGATTTAGCCTGGATCAGTGTCATCTGGGCTATTAAAACGTAGATTGCTGGACTCTACCTCCAAAGTTTCCTATTCAGCAGGTCTAGGGTGGGGCCTAAAAAATCTGCCTCTCAAGTTCCCAGGTGATGCTGATCTGTGCCCAAACTTGAGAACCACCGACCCCTCATTACTAAGGAGGACTGGAGCTTTGTCTTTAAGTGAACCTTGAGAAGGGTCAATTATCCACAGGTGGCCTAGACTTTTTAATGGAGAGGTGAGGACAAGGCCTCCTCCCTGGGGCCTAATGAAGTTGGTGTGGGTAGTTATCTGAAGAACAGCCTAAGGAAAAGGGAGACCTTGGGACAGAGTTAGAGCCACCTGGCATTGTCACCCTGCCCCTGAGATTTCCCTTCCCCGCCAGTTTGAAGCTACTGAGCTTTATCTTTTAGGGGGCGCTTCCTTGCAATGAAGAACATAACTGGTGATAACTGGAGGGGTAGATTAGCTAGGTTGAGAGGCATCCAAAATATAGAACCTAAAAGACTTAAGAAAGGGTGAGATTCCACTATCCAACTTCCTAGAAGGAATTCAGAAGACATCCACAGGATAACAGCCCAGGGAGCCTTGGGGAAGATTTCAACAATCAACCCCATAAACAAAGCTTGGAGCCCATGAAATGTACCATGATGAGAGATTACATGATACCATGGTTACCCCAGTGGCTCAGGCCTCTTTCTGGTATGGATCCAGCTCTGGCCTGGCCTGACTCCGCAGAGTGAGGTTTGAGGCTTTGGAGCGGGGAGCTGCAGGAAGGCAGGAGGAGGAGAAATGGGAGCGAGAGCACATGGGAAGGGGTGGTCACACCTGCTTCCTCAGCAGGCCCAGGAGAGCATGTCCACAAGTGGAGACACACACACTGCCCGTGGGCTCTGTCTTTGGACTTGGAGAGAAAGGCCTCTCAGACATAATGCTTATCCCCAGGGCTGAAGGAGGTGGAGCATCCAGCCTAAAAGCTTTGGGTCTAGAGAATTGTTCCAGTTCTCCTATCCGTGGAAAGTTCCTCTCTCCTAAATCTGAATTGGTCAAACACTTTCATCCCTTCCTTACCAGGAGAGTCAGGTGACGGGGTAAACGTAACATCTAACTGGGGTAGGAAGTGTGGCGGATGCTTGCATACGGGTGGGAGTGTGTTGTGTTTGCTAATTTCTCTTCATCTCCGGGAAGAAATCAAACTGCAGGCCAGGGAGGCTGCCACATGCTCCTGGGCCCTTAACTTGGAGAGAGACTTACGTCAGGCAGCGACTCAATGAAGTGGTGTATGTTGGCCTCCTTGGCTGCCCTCACGATCTCTTCCTGTGACACCTCCCGGCTGTTGTCTCCGTAGGCGATGTTCTCGCCAATGCTGCAGTCAAACAGGATGGGCTCCTGGGATACGATGCCCAGGTGTGCTCGGAGCCACTGGACATTCAGTTGCTTTATTTCTTTGTTATCAATTAGCTGAAAACAAAGAGTTCATAGATCAACTTCAGGGCTAGCATATTTTGAAGTTAGCAAAGTTAACACTCTTATCTCATACGTAAAAACTTCCAAATTGTTAGATTAAGGTAAAGTTTGTTTTCTTTAAATTTGGATTGTCAAGGTGAATCCAACAAGGCCATCATTGTATGCTTTGAGGAAGTGTCATGTTTTAACCCTGGTTCCTGATGTGTGTATGCAGTAAAATAATACCCGCTCCTTCCCAAGGTATCCATGTCCCAATCCCTGAAGCCTATGAATATGTTACATGGCACGGAAGAATTGAAGTAGCAGATAGAATTAAGGTTACTAATCAGCTGGCCTGAAAATAAGAAGATTATCTTGGATTATCTTGGTGGGCCTAATGTAATCTTAAGAGTTCTTAACTGTGGAAGAGAGGCCAGAGAGTGAGTATCAGAGTGGTACTATTTGAGAAAGACATGACCTGTCACTGCTGGCTTTGAAGATGGAAGAAGGGGTTGCAAGCTAGAAAAGGCAAGAAAACAGATTGTCCCTTGGAGCCTCCAGAAAGAACACAGCCCTGCTGACCCTTGATTTTAGCCTGGTGAGACCTCTCTGGGACCTCAAACCTCCAGAAGTAGAAGATAATAAATGTGTTCTAAGCCACTTAATTTGTGGTAATCGGTTATAGCTGCCCTAGGAAACTAACTAATACGATGTCTAATATTTCTGGGATGTATCCTGACATCCTTACTCTACATCTCAGTTTTTCAGAGAAAAAGAGGCCAGGATTAGAGTGGAAATAAATAACAACTATGACCACGTGATAGGTTTGTAGTTCAGGTTTCTGATCTGACCTGAGTTTGAGAAATCAGATACAATGGCTAAATGGAATAGAAGTAAGAGTGGGAGGGCAGCTGCTATATCTCTCAGTAATTATTGATCTTGATAAAGTAATTTCTCTTGGTTTCCTCATGAGTAAAATAGGAATGACAATAATTCCTAAACTCACAGAATTAAGGATTAAATATTATGTATGGTCCTCACTTAGCACAGTGCTGGGCACAGAATAAGTGTTCAAGGGCTGTAGCAGTGTGTAACTCTGTGTATGTGATGTATGATGTATGGGAACTGAAGGGGATGGACAGGTGGACAGGAGTATGAAAGGATGGACAGACATCTTCAATTCTGAGCCAAAGGAGTAGGAACAGAGAGCTGCCCTTTCTCTGTGATCTGCTTCCCTAGATTATGTTGCAAAAGCCTTAGGAGGGCCCCTTCCAGCCTTGCTGATAAAAAGCCTTACTCTGATGCAGCTACGTCTGTCAAATAGATCTGTTTTGCAAAAGAATTTTCTGGTATTCAAGTGAGAGAGCTGTTCATCCCCTTTGAGGAAGACACCAGTCACTCAGATTTGAGATTTTCTGATAGTGGGGACAAGTAGGTACTGAGCCACATATACTCTCTGTATCCCATGTGCCTCAGTGGCTCTGGGAGACAGCTGGCCAGGCGTGGGGTACAATCTCTGCTGCGGGAAGGTGGCTTCTGCTTGTGGAGCTGGCAGGTGCTGGGATCAAAAGCACTGCTATGACCTCATTAGTACCAAGCCCAGTTGCCATGGAGACTGTTCAGCGCATCTATGCTCTAGGCTTTCTTACAGAGTTAATAAATGAAGGTGGGAAGCAGAAGGTGGAGACAGGCAGTGAAAACCACTCGAGGATGTGGCTAAACAGCACATCTAGTCAGATGGAACACCGTACTTGAGAAATGGAAATTTGAGGAAAGGAAAAGTTTCGTTTTGTTTTTTAATTTCCATGTTTATACCCCTGGGAGGAAAACAGACACTGCCTAACTAATATAATAATAGACGCATATGAATGATCCCAGCTTAATGAGTTTCCTCATTACACTGGATATGGTAACACTCTTGGGCCTCCTCATCCCCACACAATACACTAGAACTGGAAACTATATAAAACCTGTGTTAGCTGAAGAATCCTTTCTTTAAGGAAAACATGTATAGAAGCCCAGAATGCAAGAAAGATCAAAGTAGAGCTTGTTTGGCTGAGGCATGGTGGTGGTCTCAGGGGCAACCAAGAAACTCCGGGGAATTTATAAAAACTGTTCAAAAAATCCTTGCCTAAATAAAAGCACAACTAGGAGAGTAAACATATTGGTAAGAAATATTGTAAAGCCAAATTAAAATGACTAGCTCTCTCTATTATAGACTGTAAAATTGATCACTTGCTTTTATTAGCACATATAATCAACTATTAAATATAAATTTTTCAATGTGTATTTACTCTGAAATAATAATAAATTAAAAAGATTAAGCACTGACAATATTGCAGGTTCTGTGATAAGCATGTCTATACATAATCTCATTTAGTCTTATTTAAACTCTTATGAGGTTGCTGTGATTTTAATCTCCATTTTACAGATAAGGAAATGAGCGAAATTAAGTAATTTATACCAAGTCACACAGGAAGTATTTGGGGGAAACCAGGATTAGATCTAAATGCTGTAGGTTGGGTTGTGGTGACACAAGTATCTCACATTTGAAAGATATTTTCTGTTGTCCCTTAAAAAGGGAGTATCCCCATCTTGGCCCAGGCACCAGACCATGACAAGAGGCTTCTAGCTGTACCCTCAAAACAGAGATGATTTAACAATGAAGCTGATGAAGGGTAAGTTTCCATGCCCTCGACTGCATGTAAATTCTGAAAGCTAAGCAGTGTTCCGGGTGGGAGGGCGGCAAGGCTATAGTCAGGAAGCTCTTCCATGTGAACATGGATGATAAATAGCTTAAGAAAAGAAAGGAACCAGAGTCTTTAAGGTTCCCATATTTTGTTGTGACATTTTTTCATTTGAAGTAAATATTCACGTTTGTACCTAATTTTGCATTCAAAATGTCTTTTTTTTTTTAAGTAGAATCCCTAAAATTGTATATATGACCTTCAGGTCCCACAAAACTGGAATTCTCTCCTCTTCACAATTCTGTAACTTAATTTTTCAAGACTCTCCACAATTTAATCTAAACCTTCCTTCAAATTTACTAGTTCAGTAGTTCCCAAATGATGGTTAGCATTAGAATCACCTGGGAAAATTGTAAAACTAAAAGGTGAGGCGCCAGCCTACTGGAATAATCCGGGGTGGCCGTGTTCTTCACTCGCTTTCTAAGCCATTCTAAGATACACCAAAGTTTGAGAACTGCCACACAGGTTCAGAGTTTCTCACACTGTGTGATTCAAAGCCCACTGACCGGTCATGAGAATTTCCTGACTTCAGGGTGGTCCTCAGGGTTAAGTCCTTTCTTCAGTCCTTTTGCTCAAATCCACAGACTCATTTTTACATGGCAATAAGAACTAATTACTAGTAACCTACTAACTGAGTTATTCAAGGTTACTAATTGATATTCATAAACAAAACTTGATACATTCACTAGAGTTTACTGTGGACACCTCTGCTAAGAAGTCTGGCTGCTGTGCATCACTAGGCAGTATTTCAAGTTCTAGGGCAAATGCACAGGAGCAGATACTGGATATTGCTGCAATAAATGAGGACACTTTGTTTTTGGAGCATTATCAGTGTTGTCTTAAGACAGTTATTGTCCTATGCATTTAGAATTCACTTTTGTATCCTTCTGTGTCTGCCCTTTCATATATCAAGGGACTTGAAGGCTAAAAACAATTTCCCAGGCTCCATTGGTTCTGGAAATAACTTAGGGTCTACCAGGGAGATGCACAGTTTAAAACCTGGGATGCAGACACCAATTCTCCTTTAGCAGCCATAGTAAGCTAGCACACGTGTTTGGCAGACAGGACTTTTTGCAACAGCCAGACTCTGGTCTTTACGTTTGGAACAGCTGCGACACTGGCATAATTTTCTGCAGCTGCCTGGTTATAGTATTAATCTGGGAGCAAAAGCAGCCTCCTTTACTTTGACTCTTCCAGCCCTTCCAAAGACCTTGTAAACATTGCATTCCCCTTATTAAATACTTATCTACCTAATATACCTAGAGCAGTTTATGTTTCCTACCCTGAACTATAACTGGTACTGTCCATGCTTTTAATTATGTTCTGCTTATATTTGTGTCCTTGCAGAATAATCATTAATTTCTTCTGGTGTAATTATTGTACTATTTACCATTGTTGTTGTTTTCAACTCCAGCATTTTGTCATCACCAAGTGTTTTTTTCCCCTATTGCAAAGTGACTATGAGTGCATTGGGGGCTGTGAGCTTATTTTATCTTTCCTACATGGGTTGTTATCAGAAAACTTAAGAACTACTACTCTAACTAAATTCCCTATTTCAGCCAAACTGCACTATTTGCTCCATTGGGAACAAATCACTTATCGCCCACAGCTCACATTGTCTCTTACACTGAAACCCTTCCCTCTTGCTCACCCATGTGCAAGTCCTGCTTATCCTGTAAAAACCAGCTCTAGGCCTATCTCCATCTTTAACTCTTGAAAGTATAAGCCCTGTCTCCTCAGACCCCACAACTTGTTTTATAGCACAACATTTAACACACTGCTTAATAAACGTCTGTCGAGACGCCATAATCCGTGTCTGACAGCAGCTAACGTTTCCTCCTCTAAGTGCTTCGACTGTCAGTGCGGTCTTCATTCAGAGTCCTGTATTCAAACTTCACCCACAAAGTTGAAGCATAAAATCAGAGTTCACAGAAAATGTGATACGAAGGAGTAAAAACAGGGAACAAAGCTTATGTAACTAGTAAATAATAGACTGACTGAAGGCATAATTGTCTTTGAATATAATAAAAAATGTTTATGAGTAAGAGTGATTGCTGTGGGGAAGTAAAAAGAGCCCTGGACTACAGGTTGAATGCTCTCTGTTCATTTCAGTCACTAGCGCAACTAGGGTCCACACTGAGCTGGTGGCCTCAGGCTCACTGTGCCGGCAGGCGTCCGTTCTGATTGGTCGGTGCCCGTGCTGTTCAACATCACCTCTGAGTACAACTAATAACTAAATGCCTATGTAATGAACATTTCTTGCCCTAAATTCTACCCCTTCCTAATTTTCTAGTTTGATTCTTTTCCTTTCCCTCATTATAGTCATTTAAATTCACTACTCCCTTTAAGACTCCTATCTCATCCCCAGCACCTAAGACATTCCCTGACACATTTTAGTTCAGAAGACAAAAAGGCATTCCCCTCTCTCTCTCTCTCTCTCTCTCTCTCTCTCTCTCTCTCTCTATATATATATATATATACATATACACATATATATATGGGGGGGTGAGACAGTCTTGCTTTATCACCTGGATAGATGGTAAGTGGCATCACTGTAGCTCACAGCAACCTCAAACACCTGGGCTCAAGCCATCCTCCTGCCTCAGCCTCCCGAGTAGCTGGGACTACAGTCACATCCCACAACAGCCAGCTAATTTTCCTATTTTTAGTAGAGATTGGGTCTCGCTCTTGCTCAGGTTGGTCTTGAACTTCTGGGCTCAAGCAATTCTCCCTCCTTGGTCTCCCAGAACTGCACCCTGCTGGCATTCCTCTATATTATTTATGCACTTCTCAACTTTGTTGATCTTTCTTTTTTTTTTTTTTTCCTTAGATGATGTTTCAATGCCCTCTCTCCATCACTGTCTTTGTCTCATCCTTAGCCATACAAATGCTCTAGATTCCTCCTCCTAAGCATTTTCCCTGGACTCTGCCCTCCCTGCTCAAGCTGTTCTTCTTATCTGCCTTTCTTTCACCTTCGATCTTCTTGAAAAACTACACTCACTTAAATCTCCACTTCTCCAAAACATCCTTCAGCCATGCTCAAGTATTTTCTACCATTACCATTTTGCTAAGAATACTTGAAAATGTCCGAAACAGTACATTAATTGCCAGATCCTATCACGTCTTCAGTCGTTCCTTACCCAATCTTCCCATAGCACCGGTCATTGCTGACCACCTTTTGAAACACTCCCCATCCTTGCCTTCTATCTCACTTGCCTCTGATAGCGCCCCACCTCTATCGCTCTGGCTACTTCTATTCATGCTGGCTCTTATGTTACCTGAAACCTAAGCACAAGGGGGATGAGTGGTAAAAAGGCTGCTCACGAGGGAGGGCAGGGGGCAGTGCTGAGGGACAGCCTGGAGTAGTTGGCTGCGGCAGAGGACATGGCTTGGAGATTGCATCTGGGCTGTCAGACTTGAACTACATGGGGCTGCTGTTTAAAGGTTTGGAAAACCACAGTTTACAGTTGAGAATTAAACACACCAGGACATTTAGAGGATGAAAAACCTGAACTGAGCTGAACAGGAAAGTGTGCTCACCACTGTCCCAGCCAGGGGGTCGTAGAACCGCTCCAGGAGCTGGACCACCGTGCTCTTCCCACAGCCACTGCTGCCCACCAGGGCCAGCGTCTGGCCCTTCTTCACCTCGAGGCTCAGCCCCTGAAGCACAGGGATGTCTGGCCGCGTGGGATAATTGAACATGACTTCCTTATATGTCACATTTCCTTCCAGCGCATCCTGCAGTGGGAACAATAACAGCAAATTTAATTGCTGCAATACTGACAGCACAGTGTCTAGCTAACCCTCTCTACCACCAGGTCAGGAGGTAGTGAACTTGTATTCCAATTAAGCTTCACTTCAAACTGCTAGAATTTAATAAATAAGATCTAAAAGAGTCAATGCTTTTATAGCCTGTATTGTTAAGACAATACACACATACAATATAGATATGATAATTCAAATCTGTTGCCCAAGAAAGAATAACCTATATGTAATAAAATCTGATTAATAGGATTTCTTATAAAGTGGGCAGTATTCCTATCTCTCTGTAACTCTGCTGTGTAAAAGTACTGGAATCAATACATATTATTAGCATTTATTAAAAGGAATATATGATCTAGAAAATCTTATTTTATCATCAGCATATTAAAAAGAAAACAAATTGTATTAAGTTTCCTGTTAGAAGACTTTCACTCAGGAGTTAGGAGTAGATCATGCAAGTCAAAACATCGAACTTACTGGCTTCAAGCCTTCTGTGCTATAGCTGTCAATCAGAGGGACTTTTTCAATGATCCTGATGATGTGGGAGGCTGACACTTTGGCTTTGGCATAGTCAGGAGCAAATGAACTGACCTGCCCAACTGCCATGGCACCAAAGACAATAGCCGAAAATACCCTGGAAAGCACAAAGAAAAAACATGTGTATAGAGTTTTAATTGCAATGCTAGAAAGCTGACACTTCTACAACCAGAGAGTATAATTACATTGCATAATTACAAAAGAGATGTTAAAAAGGGAAACACTTTCTTTATAAGTTCATGTCAGTGTGATAGACTGTTTACAAAATGGCCCATTCTTCACCAGCGCGTGTCAGTGTGATTGATTGCAAAACGGCCCCGTTTTTCACCTCTCTCTGTATTCTCACCTTCTTGCAATGGGACCTTTGCAGCACTTCCATTTAAGAAGTAGAGTTGATTTTCCTACCCTTTCAATATGGGATGGGCTTATGACTTGCACTGGCCGACAGGATGTGATGGAAGTCACTGTTGCCAGTTCCAAGCCTGTGATCCCGGGAGGCCCTGTATGCTTTGTGTGTGCATGCTCACTTGCTTGCTCGCTCTCAGAACTCTGCCACCTCCAGGAGCCCAGGCTAGCCTGCTAGAAGATGAGGCACCCACAGAGGAGAGCTGTGTGGGTACCAGCCAACTACCCTGTAGCTCACCACAGACATATGATTTAGCCCAGCTGAGATCCACTATGCCCAACCCAGATTAAGAGAACTTCACAGCTAACCCATAGCCTTGTGGGTAAAAATAAATGTTTATCATTGTATGTCCCTGAGGTTTCCTGGCTGGTTGTTACACAGCATTACTGTGGCAACCAACAATGGTTACAGTCAGTGATGCTGGAATTACATCAGATAATAAGAACTGTGCAAGAAAGAGTTTCTTACAGACCCAGATATCATGCTGCTCTCAGCATGCATCAACATTCTTATCTGTGACATGGGAGCAGCTTGAAGTTGGAAAGGACCTTACAGGTCAATGTGCCTGGACATGTCCCCTAAATCGGCTTCCACCCTGTTTTAGAAAGTAGCATGTTAGATTAAGTCTATTGTTAAAAAGTTCTTTTACAAACTGAAAAAAAACTACTTCCTTTTACATAATACAGCCCTTCAAGTATTGGAGTATTGTTAAAAAGGTCCTTTGCTTCTTTGATAACTCCTTTCACTGCCCTGCTCTGGACACATTAATCAAGGTGCCTTTTAGTAACCCTAGAACTGACAATACCTGGGAAGCCTCCCAGAATACTGAGAATCCATCACTTTCTTTCCTCTGGACTCTACACATGTGTTAACATAGCACACTGTGTCAACCCAGCACATGGCATCATTAGCTGTTGTTTTTAACTAGTGCTAAATAAATCATGCAGATGGTTAATCTTGACTTTGTTATCATTTAAACCTGTGGGACTTTTTCAAATGGATTGCTCTTCAGACAGTTCTCCCCAGTGTCAGGAACTTTCATCAATTCAATTCCTTGGAGTAAAGCAAAATATCAAGTAATTATTTAATAAAAGCCCCAATGATGCCTGGCTGTGATCTTTGGGTCATAATCACAAATAGCATCTGCATATCATTTGTCAGACATACATATTAAGTAGACATTTAAATTTTTTCTGTCAAGATCATCCTGAGCAAACTATAATACATGAACAAGTCAATGTCTAAAAAGGGCAGAAACACTGTAGTAACACGTTATATTGCCAGGCTTACATGATTCTAGATTAAATGTAAACTGTATTGCTACTGATTAGGTTATACGATTAAAGGGCAGAATCTTACCTGTCACCAAATCTAGAAGCTCAGAAAGATTACACTTTTGACTACTAAACTGCATAGTTGAGTACTTTAGTGTTATAACTAAAGTTCAGGCTTGTCTACCCAACTGAGGTACAATTTTATATATTCATAGCAATGTAGCAGAAAAATCCCAATCTAGCTTTTCCTTTGTCTCTTCTGAATTTCTCCCAGTGCTTACTTTCCAACTGTTCTCTTATCCAGGAAAAACAAATTCATCTTGGAATCTCCTAGGGCTTGCAGAACTTAGTACTTCACTTGCTCTGTTAGAAAGTCCTTTCAAAGGAGCCAGTCTGACTTCTTGCTCAGGGTTAGGCTTCTTCCCACATGCCAAAGTTTTCTGGAAACCTCTGAATTGAATCACCCCACCCAGCCACAGATTTGAAAAGGTCAGGTATGTGTGAGTCAGCACTAGGGAGAGAAGTGACTGGTTCTTCAAATGAAGTGAGACACTGTGGAGACTCAGAGGCAAAAGTGGTAACACATGGAGACTAAGAGGCAAAAATGCCATTTTCTGAATCACCAAAATTTCATCATGAGGCTTCACAGTAGAGTTTTCTATCCAGACATGAATCATGTTCATCCCACTTTTGTTTTTGGAGTTTAACTGTAAATAAAGACCCAATACTTACAACAGAACATCCTCAAAGGTCATTAACTGACGTGCCACCAAGTAGGCACCAAACCGGAAGCAGCCAGCATAGGAAAAATACATCATTGCTTGGGTGAAGGAAAACGTGATTCCAAAGATGTGTGCTTTCTTCAAAGAGTTTCTGAAAAGAAGACATGTAAAAACTTACTCCTCTTTCATTTCTTTGTCCTTAATGTGTAACTTTTGCTAGGTCGGCAGAGGGACACCAAGCTATGCCAGATGAAAATGGGTTTAGTTTCCAGAGAAGTAAGTTTGATCCTCATCTTACCTCTTACCAGCTGTGCAAATTTAGGAAACTGCCTAATCTCTGAGACTCAGTGTCTTCATCTTAAATGTATGATAAACCACACCTCAAAGTATTGGTATAAAGATAAAATGAGGCAATGAATGGAAAGACCTTGTTAGGGATTAATAAGTGAAAGTTCCCTCCCTTTCCCCCCACTTTTGGACACGTGACACTAAGTACTCTACGATAAACACTCATTCCACACGCAGTTACCCAACACCCACAAGCGGCAGGGACCATGCTGAGTGACATAGAACAATCAGGCACGTTCTTGCTCTTGGGGACCCAGGAGTGGAATTGGACTGTTATTTATACAAAGGAGGTACCTTATGAACAACATATTATAGAAAGAAAGAAGGAATCTAACTTTCTTAGGGAGTTAGAGCAGACTTTACATAAAGGAATTAATATTCTAGAATTTTCTGAGCAACATGGAACTCAGCAATGTGGAGGTGTGGGTAGGAGCAGGTCGGTGGGTGGGCAGCCACCTGTTCTTCCTACTCCTACTTCAACCAGATCAACTCTGCTTTTATCTTTGTCATCTATCAGGATTCCAAATCAATTTTTTTTTCAGGAAAAAAGGCTCTACTGTTGTTTAAAAAGAAGTTTGAAAACCTATCGATAAGTTCCAGGGCTCTCCTTTTACTATTGACACTTGGGGAGGTTGGTCTTGCCCATGTTTGTTCACATCATTTATTAGAGTCCTTACTGGGATGACTGTGTTAAAGGAAGAACAGGAGGTCTCCCGTGGAGAAATGGTAGAAAGAGAAAGAAAGGGACAACCAGGAAGTATAATCCCTCAGTGTTCCACAGATACTTCAAATTTCATGTTCCATAAAGAACTCATTCCCAACCAGAGCAAATAATAGGGTCATTATCCTAACTAGACATCAGAGAGTCATTGTCAGCATCTTCTCTCCCACCCCTTCCAATCAGTTATCAGCTCTTATAGGTTCTACCTCAGAGATGTCCTTGCCTTAGTTCAAGGTCTTGTCATTTCTCTCCTGGATAATTACAAGGGCTTTCCAACTGGTTCCCTTCTGGTAATTTCTCTACTTGCTCCCTACCTTCTGACCAAAGTAATCCTTCGGAAAACAAATCTGATAATTGAAATACTCCTCATACTCCCCCCTCCCACTGCTTAGCGGTTTTTACCTGTATGGGACCTGCAAACTCTGTGCATACATATGTTCAAACTTCTGCTCCCGAGTCAAAGAAACAACGGTTCGGAAGTTTTCTATTGCTTCAGTGGCGATCTGTAACAGAGAGCCCACCACAAGAGGCACAAGGGTAAACAGTGGCAATTAATCTGAATTCTATAAACTAGATAAAATTTATTTTACGACTGCATATTATTTATTTATTATTACCTATGAGCATCCTTTGCTCAAAGGATACTAAGTAATTTATCAAATGGAGCTTTGGATCTGGAAGGAAGATGGACTAATTCAACCTTCTCTTTACAGAACAAGATCTAAGGCTTAAAAGAATGACGACACTTGCTTAAAGACTCATAGCTTTGTATGGCTTTATAAAATTAACCTGAGAACTTAGTATTTCACATCAATTGCAGTGCTCTTTCTTCTACAAAGGTCACATTTTAAATTTACTGTTATTTTACATATATATTTTTAAATATGATGTTTACATTTTTCTCTTTATACTTGCCATTTATGACAACTGAATAATATTTTGAAAATATCAAAAAGATGAAGGTAATAAAAAGTTCTGTATTGGTATGTTTTACATATTAGCTTACATATTGTTTTCTTTCCTAAGCATATATTAACATAGTTAACAAAGTTGGGATCAAACTCTATATTTGGCTATATATCATTATTTTTCACCTTAACAAATATCAGGAGCATTTTCTAAGATCATTAAATATACATTAATAATGGGATTTTAATGGGTCATTTAATATCCCAGTCAGTTAAACATTCCTTTATTGTTGAATAAGGTTTTCAGTTCTTTTCTTATTAAAAATTATGCCGTGATAAACATCCTTATACCCAAACTTTTGTCCTTATTAAATTATTTTCTTAGGAAAAGTTCTTAAAAGCAAAATTACTAGATGAAAGGGAATTAACTGTTTTTAAAGGAATATGGCACATACCATTAATTTGTTTTTCAGAAAGTTTCTATCATTCAATTATGTTCTATTAATAATTGAATGTTACTTCCAACAAGGCTATTTGATTAGGACACATACATCCTTTACCACTTTTTGGAGACTGAGAAAAGGGATATGGAGACTGAGTAAAAGGATATGGAGAATACAAAAAATACCAGTGTACGCAATGAGATTTCAGTCTATACTAGCTATGGGACCTTGAACCACTACGCTGTCTCATCTCATCTGTAAAATGAGGAGGGTGGATTAGAGGGTCTCTAAAGTCCCTTTTAATTCTAGGATTTTAAGGGAAATAATTTCTAGAATTATAAGTCACCCAGAGAAATTACTCTTATCATTTAAGATATTCTTCCTCTCTCCAGCCTTCACACAAGTCAGAACAGATTCTAATAAATACAGATTCAGTTAATTTAGTTATCTGTAGCTTAAGAAAATCATGAACACAAATTTCCACTTATTCTTCACTGAATCCTACACAAAATACCTAACTTCAAAGATAACACAAATATTTCATAAGAAATGAAGTCAGTTTTGAAGACTAATACAAAAAGCTATTAGAAGTAAAAAAATAGGAACATTTCTTAAACCAAAAACTTACTTAAAATATAAAATTAAAAGTATTATTCTCTAACCCAGACAGGCCAAGATGATTTTGAACTATGTTTAACATAAGCTACCTATGAAGATAGGAAAATGTCCAGATTTATGTTAAAATATTTTATAAGCTTCTATACATTATAAAAAATATATTTTTTTAGAAAATCCTGAAAGTACAGAAAGCAAAAAATTAGAGGAAAAAAATTTACCTTCAGTCAAATCCCTAAAGACAATTATTTTCAGATGCATTAGAAATATTTTTAATTTTTAAATATAAGGACTCCAACAAACAGAAGAGGTTTTCTGGATTAGTTAGTAAGAATTCAAGAAACTATAACAATGTCTGCTGAAAAACAGATTTTACTATAAATTTCAGTGTAATGGTTTTAAGAAATATTTTCTGTGCATCATTTTCTAAGGTAGGAGTGTCTTCGTGATTGTCTTGTAAATGTTATTGCTTTTTAGCGTGCATAGTCCAAAAGTGAGTTTGAGTCAAAGAGACCTTGCATGGTGAGTAAAACAATATAATCACTTCATGATTGTCTTCATCTTGACGCACAATGAAGCAATTAGGAAAAGGCTTAATTAGCACCCCACATCCTCACACCATCATTTCTTCTAAGAGTTTTAAATGGAGACTCAGTAATCACCATGAGGAGAGAGAACTTTTAATTCAAAGAGTAAATAACATTGAATTTCTCTCAGAAACCATCATATATTAAATAATTTTGAAGAAAGAAAAACATATCTATGTGTCTAGAAAGAAAAGAAAAAAACCCTCATATTTCTCTTCCTACCCTCAAATAAATTGAAGTTTAATTATGGTTTTTATTTCTAAAAAGGAAAAAAGTATCTACAATTGACCTTTGAACACTAGAGGGGTTGGGGGCACTGAAAATCAGGGGTTCTGTCAAAATATAACTTTTGACTCCCCACAAACTTAACTACTGATAGCCCATTAACTGTAAGCCTTGCCAATAATTGTCAATAACACATACTTTTATGTTGTATGTAATATATATACACTGTATTTTTACAGCAAAGAGAAAAGAAAATGTTATTAAGAAAATCATAAGGAAGAGAAAATATATTTACTATTCATTAAGTGGAAGTGGATCATTTAAAGGTCTTCATCCCCATAGTCTTCATGCTGAGTAGGCTGAGGAGGAGGAAGTGGAGGCAGCCATTGGTGGCCTCTGTCTCAGGGGTGGCAGGGGCAGGAGGGGGAGGAGGTGAAAGGGGAGGGAGCAGAGGCAGGCACGCTCAGTGTAACTTTATAAAAATACATAGTCATTTCTGTCTGACTTTTTTTTTTTTTGCTTTTTCACTTCTCTAAAAATATTTCCATACAATACCCATCCTTCTTCAACCATTTGCTTTAGTTTCAATGACCGTATCATAGAAGGGTCTATGAGATAAAAGTTGTCAAAAGCAGTCCTGTATAGCTGGAATCCTTCTGCCAGACTGTCTAAAGTCAATTTGTTTTCTGGCACTGCTTCTCCTACATCTTCTTCCTCATCGTGTGGCACTGGTTCAGAAGCACTCAACTCTACCAAGTTGTCTTCTGTTAATTCCTCTGGGGTAGTGTCTATTAGCTCTTGAATATTTCTAAGATCCATATCTTGAAATCTTTCATCCTCCACCTTTTTTTTTTTTTTTTTTGCCATATCCACAATCTCTTTCATGGTTTCCTTGATTGGTTCTGCTGTAAATCCTGTGAAGTCATGTACAACCAGGAGTTTTCTCCACCAGGAATTAATCACTTCAGGCTTGATGGCTTTTTGTGTATAACAATGGTGCCATCTTCAATGGTGTAATCCTTCCAGCCTTTCATGATGTTGTCTCTTTGGGATTTCTCTTCCACAACATTAACAATCCTTCCATGGAGTACCATGTGTAATATGTCTTAAAGATCCTTATGACCACCTAATCTAGAGGCTAAATTAGAGACACTGTGTTTGGGGGCAAGTTAACCATTTTGACACCTTTGGTGTTGAACTAATGGGGCTCTGGGTGACCAGGGGCATCGTCCAATATCAAAAAGACCTTGGCTGCCCCTTACTGTCAAGGTACTTCCTGACTTCAGGGAATGAATCCAGAAAAAGGTTTCTCATTGTCCAGGCCTTCTCCCAGTACTATCAAAAGACTGGCAGCTAGTGTTTATCTTTCTTCAAGGCTGGGCATTATTAGCTTTATAGATAAGAACAGTGCTGATCATAAACCAACTGCATTTGCACAAAACAGTAGAGATAGCCTATCTCTTCCTGCCTTAAATCCTGGTGCCCACTTCTCTTCCTTACTAATAAATGCCCTTTGTACCATTTTGTTCCAAAATAGAGCACTTTCATCTGAATTAAAACCCTGTTCAGGCAGATGCCTTTTATTTTCAATGGCACCTGGGAATTCATCTGTTGCTTCTTGATCAGCAGAAGATGCTTCTTCTGTTGTTTGGTATTTTAAAAGCCTAATCTCTTTCTAAATCAAACTATCCTTTGCTGGCATTAAATTCTCTAGCTTTAGATTGTTCTCTTTCCTTTTGCTTTAAGTTATCATGTAATGACTTCACTTTTTCTTGAATCATATTGGAGCCTGTAGGTATTCCTTTCATAGCAATCCTGCACCCATGTAGAAGCTGCATTTTCAATATGAACAAAAAGGTATTTCACAAAAAGTGCAAGGTATTTTCACATGCTAGTGTAGCTGCAGTGACAGCTCACAAATCTCCCCTCATCATTTTTTTTACAATATATCTTACACTGAATCCATTTATCTTGAAATGGTGAGCAATAGCAGCTGCAAACCTCAATCTATGGTACATACCAAGCAATTGAACTTCAACTTTTTCTTTTAATGTCATGACTTTTTTTTGCTTCTTGGGAGCACTTCCAGCATTGCTAATGGCATAGGTCATTTGTATGGGTCCCCTGGTGCTATTTAAGGTTTACGATATTGCACTAAACACAATGGAAAATATGCAAGAACTGTGAGAGACCACTTTTACTGCCGTATGCAATTTACTGGAGCTACTCATGCAGGTATGATTAGTGTCACATGGTGTTTTAAGGGGATACTCACAACGCTTGAGCTCACTTCAATAGCAACAGAAGGAGACTACCAATTATCATATAAGTACAGTATGTACTACAGTTAATTTTTTGCAGTCATGATTAAATAGTGAAACTTTATGCTTGTTTACATTTCTCTTGATTGTGAATGGAGCCATGTATGGTCTGTAAGGGTTTGCATATGTATGTATTTTATGGCAATAAATGATACAATAGATAAGTATCTACATATATTTTATGCATTTATAACATACCTTTTCCTTTTTTATATATTTCTAGGCTACACAGTTTGCTCAAATTGTCACAAGTTTCCAATATATTTATTGAAAAAATCTGCATCTAAGTAGACCTGTGCAGTTCAAACCCATGTTGTTTAAGGGTCAATTATTTTATAGAAATGCTCATTAGTTCTTAATAATGTGACAGGAAACTAAGTAGCACAGTTCACAGGCAGGGTAGAGGTTATGCAGGCTCTGACATCCTATAGACTTGCTCTGGAATACGCTTCCTTCAGCCCTTTAGGAGTGAACCAACAGAGGTGGTCCTGGCCCCCACAGAGCTTAGTTTTTGATATGCAACATACACCATTAATCAATAAACAAGGAAATAGGAAAGAAGCATGAAGGGCTGAGAAGTATCATGAATTAATTCAGGTTATCAGGAATGGCCTCTCCAAAGAGATAATAATTCTGAGATCTGAATAGTATAAAGGAGTCAGCCATGGGAAGATCAGAAGGAACCAGCCTGGAGTGTCCTAGGAATTGTAACAAGGCTCACAAGGCCTGAACAGGGTGGGCACAAGAGAGTGTGGTGCAAAACAATGTCATAGAGGTCATCAGGGGCTAGGTCAGATCATGCAGATAAACCAAGGTAAATGGCAGGATTTTATTTCAAGTATGATCAAAAGCCATTGGAGTGTTTTAAGTAGAGGGTAGCATGATCACATTTGTATTTGTAAGAGATCAGAGTGGCTTCTGTAAGAAGAAAATAAGTGGAAAAAAATGAAGGAGTAGAAGCAGGACGATCAGTTAGGAGACTTTTGCTGTGTGACTTTGGGCAAGATACTTGACCTCTCTGAACCTTGAATTTTATTATCTGTCCAACAGGGATAATTCAACAGGGTTTTTCAGAGCATTAAATGGGATAATGTATATAGAGCTCTTAGTATGCTACCTGCTATATAATAAATATTCAATAAATGGTACCCTGAGAATTATGACTAGATGAGGGTGGATTTTCGATATTATGTGGACTGGTTAGTACATTACCACCACTTTCCCTAACCACCATTGTCCCTATCATGCACCACCTCTGAATTAGAGCATTTACCACATCCCTGACCTTTACTCAGAAAATATGCCAAATCCACACACACCCATTTCCATCCACAACCCTTCCCTCAGCCCCTCTCTGACAGAACTCCAAGAGTCTCAAATCTGATGCACCAGAGGTGTAAACTTGCGGTTTGCAATGAATTAGCTTAGCATCAATCGTCTTCTTCCTAAAACCAGTCTAAAGACTCCTTTCTGTGACATTTCAAATGCCTCATTAAATAATGACACTATTAAACAGTAATGTTTTTTCTGTTTATACGTTTTGTCCTAGATTCTTCCATCTTCACCTTAGATGAGGAGTTGACAGCATGGGACTGGGGGATGGGGAACCCCTCGCCAGTACATTGTCAAATGACATCGGTGGCATAGGAAGTATTCCCTGGCAGGGCCAGACCACAGCCACAGCCCCCCGGGGTGAGCACCATCCTGCTATGCCTCCAGAACTGGGCCCCGGGGGCCTGGTGGGACACCTCACGTGAGATTTGTCCTCCATGGACACTGGCTGGGAGGCACTAAAGCTGGTCCAAAGGACTTTCCTGTAGGAACCCCAAGAAAACAGGGTAAAGAGTCTGAAGAGACAGCAGGGAGGCCGAAGGTAGAGTATTAGTGATGACCAACGTCCAGGACTTTCTTTGTCATTCATACTGGTGAAGTTCCTGGGGACAAAGTACCTCAGAGAGTGGGGCCTAATGAGAGTCAGAGCCACTCCGATCTGCCTGGATCTGCCCTACTCTTGGGAACCTCAGAATGTCCCTTGGTACATGTAGCTCTATCCTAAATGTTAGGCTCAGTTTTGGGGGCAGCCCTGCTCTGCCCTCTCATTTCTGCATTGATACAGACCCTATGATATCAGACTGTGATCTGTCATCAGAGGACCTCTTTGTTTCTTAATATACAGAGCCACGAGTCTGGAGAACACCTGTCTGAGTTTGGATCCTGGCTCCAAGACTTATCGGCTTTAAGGCACTGGGGGCATCATCCGTGGGTGCCTCAGCCTCAGATGAAAAATGAGCTAATAGACCCTACCTCACAGAGTGGCTACAAGGAGTAAAGCACTTGCCAGGAAACACAGTAAATGCCACTTAAGCATAAATGACAGGGAAAAAAAACAGACAAGCATGCAGGAAAAAAATAAAAGTATTAGGGTACATCCTAGAAATAGGATGAAGGGAGAAAAAGAAATGATAAACAAGAAAGAGTGGTAATAATTTAAAACACATAGAATAAATACCTTTAGCGCTTTTCCATACTGAATCTCCTCCACCATATGTAATAAAATGGGCCTACCTTCCTCAATAAAGGAATGTATATAAGCTGGCTTGAAAATAAGAATGAGAGAGAAAGAGAGGAGGGAGAAAAAGAGGGAGAAAGGAAAGAAGGAAGGAACTGAGGAAAGAACAGGGGAAGAAGAGAATTGAGAAGGCAATGGCTCAAAGTGGAAAAAAGCTGTTAAAATTAGCATCAGTCTTTAAGCCTAAGGTTTTATTTTGCCACTTTCCTGAAGTTTCTAATCTGATGAATAAGCATCAAAAAAGACTGCTTTGAGAAATGGTTATAAAAGCATTCTCAGAACATAGTAAATAGTAGGGAATAACAATACAACACTGAGTAGAATATTTTCCTTTACTTAGGTAAGCAATCGTATTTAGTTTGACTCACCTTCCCAGCACCTTCTAGTTCTTTCTTGTCTTTCAGTGCTTGTCCGGACAACATTTTCATTTCAACAACCCCTGCTATTGCAATGATGGGTACAATTGCTAAGAGTAAAAGTGTTAATTGCCAGCCATGGATGAAGGCTATAACAATTCCTGTCCCAAGATTTGCTATATTCTGGGTAATTATAGCAAGCCTGGAACCTACAGCCTGCAAAACAAACAAATTAGAGAGATACTTTTATATTATCTTTAAAATTTACACTTATATTTTCATATAATTTGACAGTTATGACATTTCACCTTCATGAAAATGTATTATTTCCTTAGTTATGCAATAAAAAGTAAATGTTTACTTGTAAGAAGTTTATGGAGTTTCTATAATGAGGATTTCCATGACTTCAGAATAAATGCTGAAAGTAGAAGATCAACAATTCAGAGTTCAATCACATATTTCTATCATTGTTGATTTTTTAATACCAAGAAAATCTTCATTAATCAAAGCATGATCACTAAAGCAAGCTCTGCTAATTAGCAAGATAAAAGAGTCTGACAATTACATTAAACTAGAAATAGCGGAATTTTCCAATATTAGGTACATAACTACTTGTAATTTAACCCTAATATGTGTCATAAAGGATATTTAAAAATATCTGGGCCTATTTGTAATGATTATTATGTTAAAACCTGCATTTTATTTGGAAAAAATACACACAGTTGAAAGTTATGGCATTTAATTTAGGATATTAAGCAGGCATCAGGATCTTCCATTTGAATGCCACAGGAAGCCATGATTTTCAGTAGCGTGCAGTGATTTCCAACTCTAAAACCGGAGGTCAAACTACAAAGTCAATTCAGTCCACTACTTTATAATGTCCAACTCTACACTAGGTTTCCAACTCTAAAATCAGAAGTCAAACTACAAGTCAATTCAGGCCACCACTCTATAATTCAGTCCATCACATCTCCTCTACCCTGGCTATGCTCTGTGCTGCCAAGCCATTCTGAATTCTGCATTCTGCTTTCTCTGGAAATGGCCTCTGTTCTTTTCTAACCCTAAAGTTTCTTCTGCCCAGGTGGGACTGGTTCAGGTATACATTACAATGGAGTGCAGTCTAGGATGGTCACTGCCATCACTGTGACTTTGAACAAATCTCTCCTAACTCCCTAAATGAGCTGGTGCATTGATTAATACTGAAAGCTTCTCTCCACTCTGAAAACTGTGATAGAATTCTTTATAACCCCCTTCATCAATTCCTCTAAATCATTTAAAAGCTATTTGATATAAATACTAAACCAGTACTTAATGGAAAAAGGGTGCTACAACCATCAGTAGCCTTTATGTACATTAAATTCCATACCAGGGAATTGCACCAGGGCTGAAAGAGACAGCATAAACAATAGAGCACATTTATTTTTACTTGATGCAGTCACTGAGCTTATATTAAAGAGATGCTTTGCCAGATTTGCCATAAATCAGAGTGGAGTAGCCTTTAAGTCAGCTTTTTGTATTGCACCTCTTCAGTTTGAAGGTCAAAGGATGCAAGCTAGAGAGAGTCTACAGCAGGGGATGAAGTACATTGCTCCTGTTCTCAGTATTTACTCAGAACTCATTCTCCATAGAGGAGCATGCAGAACATTCCCCAGGTTCATGACAGAGGCATTACCCTGCACATAACCCTTCAGACATATCAATGTTCAGCTGTGGATGGTAGTCAAGGGTCACAGAAATCAGCAAGATGAATCAAAGATGACAAATTCTTCTTTAATGTACAGCAAAGGTTAACTAAATTATCCAGGGCCTTAAACTTCAGGGAGATCAAGTCCCTTGGCTTTATTTGATTTAGTGCATGGACGCTGCACCAGTGACTGTCCCTTTATTCTAAAGACTAATGCTCACTGTTCCCACAATTCCTCACGGAGTGGAGTCTGAGGACCAAAACGAATGGAAGAGCACAGATTAGCAGCCAGATAATTTTCACTGTAAAGAGGAGGACTGAGGGAAGGAAACACTCCAAACTCCACAGCCCAAGTGTGAAGCAATGTAAGGTAGAAACGAGCTAAGAACTAAACCCACTAAGACGCTTTCCTCCTCACAACCTCTCCATCACAGTGAATTTCCACTTATTTTTATCTCATTTCCTCTCCTACTTGTTCTTCTCTCCCCACCTGTCCCTATTTCTTCCCCTCCTGTTATTTATCTCCTCTTCAAAACACCCCCCATCATACCACTTGAACTCTAAAATATTTGTGTTTATTGGGGGAGGGGGAAGTTGATTCCCTGAACTTCCTTTTGAAATTAGAACTATTTAACTTCATCTTTCCCTCAACCAACTTTGCCCAGAAAAAAACAAAATTTTTAAATACCTAGCTGCTTTTGACTTCTATACGGCTCATTTGCTTTTTCCTCTGCACAACTCTAGACCTCATACCAAAATAAAATTTAAAAGCCCACCGCTTCATAGGGAAATATTGAGATATATTTTCCTCTGATTATGTTTAAGCAGGATTAAGCTGCTTTAATGATAATCACAAATACATATATGAGAAAAGTTGCATTTGATGAGGAAGTCAGATATGAAAAAAATTAACCTAGGTAAACAACACTACTAACTATACACACACACACTTGAGTTGGCTCTGCCTTGGATGGCACAGATTGCGACAGCACAGCCTGTTTCGTATGTTTTTATATATATATATACATATATATAAATTATGTTACTTCCCGCCGTGGAAGACAGACACATTTATGTGCACACATGTATATGCATATGTACATATGGACAATCTGTGTATATTCATATACATACACACGCGGATCCCCCGCCACAAAAAGGTCAGCCAGTGGCGAAAACTATATACAACTGCCCTCTCTCAGCTAACTGTTATAACTGCTATGCTGGGCTTTCCTAGTTTCATGGTATTTGCTCATCTGCTTATTTCCTCTTCCCTGGTGTCTCCTTTTTAGCCACTGTTTTAAGTTCTGGAAAACAGTTGTGCCTCAGAGAGGCTCGCACAAGGTGTGTGGGTGTCTTGCTGGTGGGGCCGTGAAATGCCAGTTTGCGATGCCTTTGAGGAAACAAGTGAAAAGCAGAAGGCTGACACCAGCAGGCAATTAGACACCAGCATATACAGCGAAGGGCTTCACACACAACGCTGGGGAAGGAAGGGATTGACCGCCAGTTTTACAAATATAAGAAAGCACTGAGTGTAAGGCAGGTCATAGCACCAGAGGAATTAAAGAAGAGGGAGGAAAAACTGTAACACAGAGCGCCCAGACTGCATCTGCTCGGGGTTCTGCTGCAAGGGACTGCGTTCGTGTTCCTTCTAGGGTTGTGTCTTCCACACCAAACAGGACGTGGGATGTGTGTGTCTGTCAAAACACAGGAGCACATATGACAAGGTCTCTATAAAAGGCACACTAAAATGAGCGCTGCAAAGTGCAGCTAGGCAAAATAGGATTTAGGAGCCTCGAAGACACAATTTGCCCACAGTGATTGTTGCTGTACCCCAGGAAAGGCTCTTCCACAGAGCCAGCAAAGTGGATCTACCCTAAGCTCGTCGATTGATTCTTGTACCAATTTAAACTAAAATAAAATAGAGCCTCATACTTTATGTCTTTCTCCACCTACCACCCCACTTTTCTTCCCCATTTAGGAGCAAGTCCATTAACGGTTTGGCCAACTGTGTCATATTTCTCTCTCCCCCTCTCTCTCGAGCCTGCACCCCTCAGGCTTCCGTTCCCACCACTCCCCTGAAACGGTTCTTGTTAGAACCATAAGCACCTCCACACCGATCACCTGTGAGATGTGCAGGCATTTGCTCAGCAGCATTTGGCATCCTGGCTCTCTCCCTCCTTAAGACACTTTCTCGGATGTGCTCTTCTCCCTCGTGGGCCATCCTCTCACTCCTCTTTGCTGGCTCATCCTCATGACCACGGCCTCAGGGCCCAGGGCTTGACAGCTTCTCTGTCTACACCCACTGCCTGGGCTATCTCATCTAGTCTCATGGTTTTCAAAACCACCAACGCACTGAAAAATCTCCAATGTCTGTCTCTAGACCAGCCTTCTCTGCTAAACTCCAGACATACAAATCCACCTGCCTTCTTGACACCTCCACATGGATGTCTAATACAGGCCTGGCAAACCGACCACGTGCCACACAGAACTCTTGATTCTCCCTTTAAGCCTGCTCCTCCGACAGGCTTCCCAATTTTATTATTAATAAAAATCAACTCCATTTTTTTTTTTCAGTTGTGCAGGTCAAAAATTTGAGTCATCCTTAAACTCCCTTTCTCTCATAGCATTCCTCCAATCCAACCAATAAATTTTGTTGGCTGTACCTTTTAATATATTCAGAATCAATTACATTTCATCACCTTAAATATGACCATGCTAGTCTAAAACACTATTATCCTTCTCCTGGTTTACTGCAATAGACTCCCTACCTCTATTCTAGCCCACTTCATCCTATTCATACAGCAGCCACAGTGGTCCTTTTACATTTCAGGTCATGACACTCCTGTGTTCAAAACCCTGCAATGGTTTCCCATCTAATTCTGCATATAATGCTGACCTCAACCCTTACAACTCTCCCTTTTACTCCCTTTACTCCAGCCACTCCATCCTCCTTGCTATTTTGGGACCAGCTGAGGAATGCTCCGGCCTCAGGGCCTTTGCACTTGCTGATCCTTCCGATTAGAACACTCCTCTCCAGACAGCTAGAGGGAGACACCTTTCCTTTCTTCAGGCCTCTTGCACATATCGCCATGTGACTGAGACCTTCCCTCCATGACAACCAGCAAGCTCCCAGCCCCATATCCTGCTTCGGCTGTTTTCCCACAGCACTTACCACAATTTGACATGCCACACAGAATCCATAAGGGCAGGACCACTGTCTGTTTTAGGAAGTTGAAGTTATTGCAAGCAGTACACATTTTGCTTTGTTAGGTTCTATATAACTTGATCTATACCTTGACCTTTGTTGATTATTTTTTTTGCTTTAAGCACAGAAATCTACATTAAAACAACAATTCCTAAGATCTATGCGGCAATTTTGCAACTCTGTGTGCTTCTACATTCATAATCTATTCTTACAGAAGCTCCATATATTAAAGAGATGTTAGTATAGTACACCTTAAAGAAAGACTGAAATATAAAGACTGATAAAGTTCAAGTGGGTGGGGAGAGAGAGCAGAGATAAAGTGAATTTTTTCAAATTCTACATCATCTTGTGGATTTTTTCCATAAACAATTGTTGTTGTATAAGAAAATCTCACCTTAGCTGAAAATCAAAACCTGCTGAAAATCAAAACCTGCTGGTTCAACAGCTTCTGGTTATAGCAATTAAAGAGACTCAGATAGTAGCAAAATTTAAGTTATATAGTCTGATAAAGTTGTTCTTTCTACCTTTGCTTTCATTTTTTAATGTGCTTTTCATTTCTTTCAGCCTATCTTTCAGGATATTTTCTTGGTCCCTTCAAATTGTAATGCCCCTAAATCTTCTTTATTTTTTTATTTTAATTTTTATTCTTTTTTAGAGACGAGGTCTTGCTCTATTGCCCAGGCTGGAGTGCAATGGCACCATAAGAACTCACTGCAGCCTCGGTATCTTGGGCTCGAGCAATCTTTCCTCCCCCAGTCTCCCAAGTAGGTAGGACTATGGGCATGCAGCATCACACCTAGCTAATCTTTTCTATTTTTTGTAGAGCCGGTGTCTTGCTATGTTGCCCAAGCTGGTCTTGAACTCCTGGCCTCAAGTGATCCTCCTGCCTCAGCCTCCCAAAGTGCTGGGATTACAGGTGTGAGCCACTGAACATGGCTTATAGTGCCCCTAAACTTTCTTATAGCAACCACATACATCCTTTCTTCAGTAGCAACATTTTTCTGTTGACTGAACTCTAAAACAGACTAATCCTGCATGGTTCACTGATGAATACTTGCTTTTCTAAATAACTATTCTTCTGTATGTATCATTTTAATAGCATGAATAACAGTGCAATAAAAGAATATATATAGAAAAAATTAGCCGGGCATGGTGGCGCATGCCTGTAGTCCCAGCTACTTGGGAGGCTGAGGCAGGAGGATTGCTTGAGCCCAGGAGTTTGAGGTTGTTGTGAGCTTGGCTGATGCCACGGCACTCACTCTAGCCTGGGCAATAAAGCAAGACTCTGTCTCAAAAAAAATAAATAAATAATAAAGAAAAGAAAAAACAAAAATTGCAATAAAAGAATGCTTTGTTAGTTTTGTATTCTACAACATATAATATTTAAATAGTTAACATTTTTGCTATAAAAAGCACGTGATATATTTGTAGGTTAGATGTGTATTTAACATTTTCTTAATGATGCCAAGAACTAACACCTGTAAGGAGAAAACTGGTTTCATGCTGAGGTTCAAAATGGCCAAATTAGACAAACACCAACAGAAAGGAGGCACGTACCCCTTTAACTTGAGCAGCATCATTGGCAAGCCTGGTAGTCAAAGCTCCAGTGGTGTTTTTAGGGTTATCAAACCAGCTCACATCCTGTGGCACAGAACATGATTCTATTACATTCAAACCATATCCATGAGACTCTCAGGTCCAGCAGGACAGTGACAGGGTCAGTTTTGTTTATCACTTACATTCTCTGCATTTAGAACTTAGTATGTGACATTCGACAGGCAAGAAAGAGACTTAATATACAAACACATAAATAAATCATTTCATTTGTCAAAATTTTTTTGAGTGCCTATTTTGCCCCAAGCACGATTTCTAAGTGTTAGTCTATACAACAGTAAAAAAAAAAAAGACAAAGTGACTGCTTTCATGAAGCCTAGGTTCTAGAAATGGAAGGCACAAGTAGATACATGTATACCATGTCAGGTGGTAATAAATGCTATGAAGCAAAACAGCAAGGTATGGAGGACAAACAAGGGAGGGAAGGTGCTATTTTAGAGACTGGGGAGGGGAAAGAGAAGACCTCTCTAGGGTGACGTTTAAATAGAGACCTGAATGAAGGAAAGGATGAGAATATCTGAACATCTGAACTTGATCTGATCATGCCCTAGCAAGAAAGCCTTAAAGCCTGCCATAGCCTAAACATAACCTTTGTGTGAATTTGTAAAAGCCGCCTTTCTCTGGACTGATTTATGTCCTCATGTGGCTCCCTTGATGTTTGCCTTTCCACCTTCACGCAGTGAGTCATTGTATGTGGAGTAGACTGTGTGTTGGAAAAAGGTGAATTTGTAGGAAATGAAGTCTGAGAAGTAGCGGGAGCTGCATCATGTACAGCCCTAGAGACAAAGATTCTAGACCAGGGGTCCTCAAACTTTTTAAACAGGGGTCCAGTTCACTGTCCCTCAGACCATTGGAGGGCCAGACTATAGTTTATAAAAAACTATGAACAAATTCCTATGCACACTGCACATATTTTATTTTGAAGTAAAAAAACAAATGGGCAAAAACACTCGCATGTGGCCCGAGGGCTGTAGTTTGAGGACGCCTGTTCTAGACTTTACCCTGAGAGGTACGGGCATCTTTTAGCAGGTTTTGGGCAGAAGGATGTGATTTAACTTGCATTTTAGAAGAATGACTCTGGCTGCTGTAAGGTGACCCCACTGGCTTGAGGATGGAGCCAGTGAGAACAGTTAGGAAGCTTCTACAATATTAAACAGAGAGAGAGGAGTCAAGATTTTTAAGCTGAACAACTGGTAGAATGGAGCTGCCACTTACTGATATGGGAGAAGAGTAGGTAAGGACTAAGCCAGGTGGGACAGACAATAGAGTCAAAAGTTAAATTTTAGAAATGTTAAAGTACGAAACACTTATTAGACACCCAATAGAGTAGTTGAACAAACAGTTAAAGAAATGAATTCAGTTAAAACATATTGACAAAAGCAAAGTAGATTAAAAATATAACATTCAACACAAAATAGAATTTTCTTTGTAAAACCACTTATATTTTTAAATGCAAAAATACTAACAAGATTGTGAATCTGAAGACAACTATGGTCCCTAAGAAGTTATCTGAACTGGTGATTTGGATTAAAGGAGTATCTATCATTTTTCCCCAAAACATTTAAACAAAAACAAACAAGGTGCTATAATTTACTACTGCATGTAACAATTTACTTTTCAACATTCTTAAGTGTTTAAAGTGTCTCCCCACTGGACTGTAACTTTCTTGAAGACAGGGACCATTCAAGGTTTGAATGCCCTATAATATTTAGTAATATGCGTTATAAACAGATGGAACTTAGTGTATGTTTGCTCTCACTTAACAATTTATGGACAGGCCATTATACAAACTGTCAGCTCAGCTCTGAAAGTATAAAGGACCTAGAAGTTGGCCTGGAGGCTGGGGCGGTAATGGGGCATTTGGCCCTGGACCAGGGTCAGCCTTGAGCCTAAGTGAATCTGAGTTACAAATATGGCTTGAGACCTGGCAGTTCGAGGACAGGGTGCCCATCAGGCAGTGCTCTCTCACTCACCAGATTCAGTTCTGGCTCTGTCGGTCACTAGCTAGCAAAACTCACAAATATGTCTTCTTTTTAAGTGATGGTGGGAGGAGTGGGAGAGGAATGAGGAACCACAGACAGCTGGGAAAATGTGAATGTCCTCTAGAAATCTTGACACAGCAAACCGATGCTTCCTAGCCAGGGTTCAAGTAGCCCTGGCACGTCTGGGGCAGCCTTATAGAGCATCATTTTATTCAACGGCAAGTGATTAGTGATTTTAAAATAGAAAGTGATTAGGTCACACACAACATGTTCATGATCATTAAAGAAACTTTTCCCTTGGAACTGGGCTGCTCTGGGTTACATTCCCATAATCCCTGACCCCCTTCCCCAAGTAAAATATTCACATCTGTCTGATGTTAGGGTTTTGAAGGTACAAAATGTGAGAGGCATTCCATTAAGTCATCATCAGCCAGTAACACTGCAGCTTGAGTGAATATATCCATCCAGCCCCAGCAAAGAAAATGGGCAACGAGGAATGGGCTGTGGGAATGAATTTTGCTTTGTGGAATGAAAGTGCACAGAGGACAGCTCTTGGTGGGAAGAAACGCTGAGTGTCCTGGGTTCCCAGGAGAAAGGAGGAAAGAAGAAAGCAATGAGAGATATTAAAGATCCCTTCTGCCTACACTGCCTACAACTGCTGAAACAAAAGGCTGGAAGTGAATCCACCCTGGAGACTTTGTCTCAGACTGGTCCGATCCTTGTGCCCATGCCCAGCAAGCAGACAGCAGGGCCTCAGCCTGCGCCTCTCTCTGATGACACTGAGGGACGACCAGTAGTGAGCTCAGCATGGGGACACGGCAGAGCTCCCACGGGCAGATCCACGGGGCACAAGTGGGGAGAGCTCTGCACAGCCCTCGGCAGACGTACCTGTCTCAGCATGGATCTGAAAACCATGTAGCGGAGCCGCTTGGTGAGGATCTCTCCGGCTTTGCCAAACGTGTAGCCCTGTGAAGAACAGGAACGTGCCACACAGAAGACTCGTTAGAGACCCAGCCGCTGATTATATGAAACTGGGGGGGACTTGATGCCATTGATAAAGCAGGATACTGGGCAAAACCAGAAAGCCTGATTCCAAGGCTTTGTTTCTGTGACTACGTACTCTGGTGCCAGGCTGCACTGGAGGTGCAGCCAGGAGAGTCCAGCTCTGAAACCTATGCTGCCACTCCCATAGCCGGGAGGCTTACCAGGATTTGTTAGGAAATGTGTTTCTTTGGAGAGGAAAAGGTAAGCAAGGGAGCGGAGGAGGCAAAACATCTTTGTTTAAATATGTTCAGAAAAACCTTGCCTATTAGTAGCTAAGTTAAAATAGGAGAAATTCCACTAACAGGCAAATTACACAGATGCTTATAAATTCCCCCAATTGAATAATGATGCACTTCCCAAAATGAATAAAGGAAAAATGTAGATATTTACCTGAAGGAAAAATGTAATAAAGGAAATAATTCCAAGGACTAGAAATAACAGTGAAAACAAGTTACTATTCTGTCGTTTTGTCTCAGGATCATCATTTCTTGTAAAAATCTGCAAGAAAATATTTAAAGGGTTTTTAGTTCAATCCCTGAAGCAGCCATGCTGGGCCTGACCCATTTCCCATCTAGCACAGTATTCAGGGGTCGGGAGAGCCTTAGTATGTACTGGAAATCGGGGTTCGCTTTCCTAATGCCAACCTTAAAGGCATCTGCATTCTGCATTCCCTAGAGGCCAAGAATTGGTTTGTCATTCATAAATTGATCCAGTATTTTTTCTGTTCAGATTCTCTCGTGGAGAAATGAGTGCCACTCCTATTGTGTAAAGTAGAAACTAGAACACATGTTCTCCTCTTCCCTTGGTGGTGAACTATATTGTATAGCAATTCATTGATTTGCTATTTGGACATTTCAAATTGTCATGACATGGTTGGAGAAAAATCTGCTCGTGTGGTTTTGGTGAACCAGAGAGACGGTTATTCACTCAGCCCAGTCCTTTCAAAAAGAAAGTGGTTTTTTTGGGCCAGCTCTCTTTGTAGGATGGCCAGTTAGAGAGTTGGGCACTACAGCTAGCTGACCTAGCACCATACATGGACACCTTTCCAGGGACGGGCAGAGGACTAACAGGATGTTTCAGGCCCAAGGAACACAGAGAAGAACCATTTCACAGGGAAAGAAAATACATTATCTCCCTCGCAGTGAGCCAAAATCAGCCTTGTCAGAAAGCCGCACTCCCAACCCAACCTAGACAACTTTATCCTTTATTAAAAAAATAAAATAACAACAAAAAAAGGTTTCTAGACGAGAGAAAAATAAATTTGTTTCATTAGTCATTCCAACAACAAAAGTAACAATCACTAAAATCTTACTCTGTGCCAAGCATTATGCTAAACACATTCATGTATACTATTCCTTTTATCTTCACAACCATCTCCTGAATGTATACTTTATCATCATCCCCATTTTACACAGAACAAAACTGAAGTAGAGAGAGGTTAAATTAATTTTCTCAAGGTAACACAGCCAGCAAAGGATGACCCCAGGTTACGAAGCCAACCAACCCGACCCAGAGCCCGCTGTGCTTCAGTGAGGCAGATGGCTGGTTGGCTACCCAGCATGCAGGACATCGGGATCCCCAACCCTGGATCACCAACCTCCAGACTTATTGTTACACGAAGAATGAGAAAAACATAAAATCAATAAGTTGTGTTGTTACAGTCAAACCCATTCCTAACTCAACCATTTCCACTTTCTCCCCCAGCCCCCCAATGACATTGTAGTTTACCTGCCTACCTATGAGACATAGGTTAGAACAAGGATCAGCAAACTATGGGTCACTGTCCAAATGTTTACATGTAGCTGTAATGGAACACAGCCGTGTTCACTTGCTTCCATATTGTACGTGGCTGCTTTTTTACTACAAAGCCAGAGTTGAGTATTTGCAACAGAAGCCACATGGCCTGTAAAGCCCAAAATATTCACTATTTTGCCATTTATAGAAAAAGTTTCCTGACCCCCGTCCTGAAATCTATGCTGTACGCAATCAAACATTTTGTTTCCTTCTCAGTATTTTTTCAACAACTAGAAAACTATCTGGCACAGAGCAGACACTGAAAAAATATTTCTTGAATAAATACATGAAACATGATTATCAACCTGAAATAAGCTAGCCAGGCATGGGTAGACCTGAACAGTTATTTATATCTTATAAAATCAAAAGTTAGTGTTTAGCTTATGCTTCTTGGGGTGATCAATCTCTTGCTCCACAATGTTTTCAGCAGTTATGGCCAGGGTGTCTGTCCTCAGCTTGATGTCTGGACATCTGTCACTAAACAGAGAGCATTCCTGCTCAGATTGTAATTTTACTGTTGAAAATGCCACCATTAAGATCAAGTGGAACCAACTTCAATCTTTAGGAAGCTGTTGCTTTTTATCTCAATTTTAGCAAGCATGATATAAAAATTACACCTTACAGAGGTAGCATGCTAGACCTACTCATGTCTTGGTAAGTGTGCATGTTAGAGAATAGCTCATTCTCAAGTTGCTCTTATGAACATATCAGGAATTTTCTTTGCATAGAACCCAGCACTGGCAGATATGGGGAGATCATCTCAGTAGGGACATTGACTATTTCAGGGAGCTGGTCCCCAGGGTCCTCAGATAGAAACTGACTGGCAGGACAAAGGAAGGTTCACAAATTAGCTTTTCTATCCCCAATTAGACTTCTATTCTTATACTTTCAAGCCAGTCAGTTTCATATGAAGATATTTGGGGTTTTTGTGGCTTGTGTATACCGGTATAAACACAAACAGTTCATTCATTCTTTAGTCAGGACTCACAAGTAAATCCAAATAAATGGACATAAACACTTACTCCTATAATCTTTGAAAATATTACTGAAAATGCTGGTTGCAGGCCACCATTTATAATGGCACAAAATACACCAACAACAAAATAAGGCCATTCAGTTAAATTAAGCTTCAGAATCCTCCAAAAGGAAACTGGAGGTACATCTTCATCCTAGAAAACACAGAATATTACAACAGGCTAATTTAAGAAAATTGAAAATTGATTTTATGATGTATAGTTCTATATGCACAAAATTTTTTAAATGAATATATTTCATTTTCTTATTCCTTATTAAATGATAGCTATTTAGCTTCAAAAAAATGCTGAGAAATTCTGTTACAATACTGCTTTACTTTTTAAGAAATGAGTGTTTCCATAAACATTTAACTCTTACCTGGCATTCAGAACATGACAAGAATATTTCCAAGTAAGGATAAACAGAATATAAATTTTGATATTTGAAGACCCACTATCGTCTCTTTACATTACAAATTCTAATTCTAAAAATCTTGTCCTACAAATTCTCATTCTTAAATTCTAATCTGATTTTTTAAATTAATTAATTAATTTATTTTTAACTTGATTTTAAAATGCTGATATTTTTGTTTGTGAAACATAGTGGGGGATGGGACAGGAGGATTCTGGATCACCTTTTCTGGTTCCCACTCCTACAAGCTCAGCCCCAACCCACCAAACTAGGAGAGCCATACTGGGCAGTTTTAAAACATAAAACTCGACATCCTCCTTCATACCAGAGCCTCTTTGGTACTAAGCTTTCTGTCTTGGCTTTGTGATCCACGGATACTTCTGCGAGTTGATCTTTTTCTTATTAGACTGGATCCTGACTCATTTGAAGACATTTCCAAGGCATCAATTTCACTTTGGGTTTCACCAGCTACATTTTCTAATTCAATTTCATTTCCTGCTGTCTACAATAAACAAGAAATATGCATGAGCTCGTTAGGCTCCACTGACCAATGAAAATTAATCACTGAACATCAGCTATCAAGGAAAATGGTAATTTGTTTAGGTAATTACAAGAAAGGGTAAAGTTAAATGGCTGGTGTGTGTGTATGTGAGAGAGAGAGAAATTCTTGAAAATGAAAACCACTGAATAAGAAGGATTCTCACTGAAGATGCTGAAATAATATGGCATCTAGTCCATATATCTTATCTAATCATCTTCTTTTGTGGGTGTTTGACTCAGTCAAGTTTGCTTTGGACCAGTGCTGTCAACAGAAATATGGTACAAACCATACTGTAACCCACACTTGTCATTTAAATTTTTCTAGTAGTCACATTAAAAAATGTGAAAAGAGAGAGGTAAAATCAATTTTAATCATATATTTTATTTCACCCAATATACCTAAGATTATTGATATTCAGTGATATTATCAGTTCAACATGTAATTAATATAAAAATTATTGAGATATTTTGCATTCTTTTTTTTTGTATTAAGTCTTTGGAATCTGCTGTGCATTTTCTACTTACAACACTTCAATCAGATGAACCACTGTTTAAATGCTCAATAGTCACATGTGGCTGGTGGCTACTATAGTTCTAAACCTTTTAAAAATTTTATCTAATTATTTTTCTTTATTTCACCTCCTTTCAAGAGAAAAAATATCTAAAACATGGGTCTGATCCTGAATCATTCAAGTATTTTTTCCTACTTCTCAAGATAATCAAATCAAATAATATTAATATTTATTTTTAGCACTTAAACACAGAAAAATAAGCTTATCACGGAGATAAATTAGAAGCATACTAGAGTTAAATTCTACCTGCATTGTGACAAGTTTGAAATAAATGCCTTTCTCTTTCATGAGCTCATTGTGATTTCCTTTCTCTGCAATGACTCCATCATCAAAACCAGCAATGACATCAGCGTTACGAACTGTAGACAAACGATGAGCTATCACAATGGTAGTCCGGCCCTCTCTGGCCTAAAGAAAGAGAAATTTGGTTTTTGAATACATTAACAATTATGTGCAAAGATTCATTCATTCAACGTGTGAATAGCGAACACCAGTGCTTTGGACATTATAAAAGCATCAGAGCTGTATAAGATTCTCTCTAACTTCAACAAATGTATAGATAATTGGTAATAGCTTAAAATGATGTTTTATTATAATAAATACAAATGTGAATATAATATTCACATATTAATAATTCTGGAAGGCTCTATGATTTTAGTTAACCTAGGTTTGCAGTAATAATCAGGAGCTCATACAAAGCAACAAAATCCTACAGCCCAGGCATTGGACAATCAAAATAAACACAGGCCAGTGTACTGTACTAGTATATACTAAGTAGCGATCAGTCCTAAGAGTCTTCATGTCCTATCTCACGTGACCACTTGGATGAGCAGAGAGATAATAAATATGAGGCAGCAAAGTCCAGACTTCAACATCATCATATTAACCCAAAATAAATATATGAATGTTAACCTTTGTGAGGCTCAAATTATTCATATGTAAAATGAGGATAATAATAGTACTCACTTCTTAGGATAGTTGTGATGACGTAATAAAATGATGCACATAAAGTATTTAGCCTGTGACTTATATATAATAAGTGCTTAATAAATGATATTTATTCCTAGGTAGAACAATTATGCAAAAATTGAGGAGCTATGTAAATGTCTTTAAATGCCCAATCTTGTTTTTATTTTACTATGGAACAGAGCCGGCTAACCAGAACTTATCTGAGATTTCTTTGACCTTTGTAACTTGCCCAATGCTTATGACTTCTATTACTCTATATTTTTCTCCAGTAACTAATAATAAAATTCTCAAAACAAACAATAAGATCAATAGGAAAAATAGAAGTGGAAAACCCTGAGAAGAAAAAAACATACATACATGTGGTAGGATACCACAAAAATACCACAAAAATTAGGTGGTAGCAACTAGAAAGTAGAGAAGACAATGGAGTAATTCTTTGGATGTTTTTTGAGAAAAGGGGGGCATGTGGAATTCCCCCCAAAATTCATGCTCTGAGCAAAAATATTTTTAAATATAATCTTTTAAAATTTTTTTTCTTTATAATTTAATACATAGTTCCATTGTAGAATAAGGAAACATAGATAAGCAAAACTATAAAAAAAAACCACAGATGTGAAATCACAGATAAGAAAAATAAAGGGAAAAAAAGCAGCCACAATCCCATCCGCCTCTATTTTGGTTCACACCGTGTTTAGTAAGCTGCTTTTTGCTCCCTCAACAATCAAATAAGCACATTGACAGGATGTTTAAAGGAATACTCAGTGTTGTTTTATTGAGACAGGGACTGTTGGAACAAACATGGATTCATCTTTGAATTCTACTGTGACATCTCAACTCAGAGCACCTTTGGTTAAAAGGTCTCCATGATCTGGGTCTTCACAGAGCTAGCCTGGTTACCATGACATGCTGGAGACCAAGCACACAGTGCCTGGCACAGAGCAAGTGCTCCCATCCTATTTGGTGAATCAAGTCATGTGGACTCCAGAACTGCAGGAAGGTCAAACTCTGTTGATGGTCAAGGATGTTTCCTGGCTTAGGTAGGTTTCCAATATCATGTAGGCCAGGGGTCCTCAAACTTTTTAAACAGGGGGCCAGTTCACTGTCCCTCAGACAGTTAGTGGGCCAGATTATAGTATAAAAAAAAACTATGAACAAATTCCTATGCACACTGCACATATCTTATTTTGAAGTAAAAAAAAAAAATGGCCAAAAACACCCACATGTGGCCCACGGGCCGTAGTTTGAGGACGCCTGATTATAGGCTGTCTGCCCCTCTCTCTTGGAAACAAGAGGCTTATCATTTCATATAGAGTCCTTAAGTGGCATTTAACATCTTGGAAATTAAATGTGAACCTTCCAATTGTGTTTTACTCTTGTTGACAATATTAAAAACTCTCAAACCCTAAATAATATGGGTTACCCTTATAGCTAAGTTTTCAAGATCAATTGTCATTTGAGTCCATATTTCTGTTCTTGAAAAGATTTTCAAGTGACTTTAGATGAAAATTCATTCATCTTAAAGCACTTAAAAAATATCAGAGAAATAAACAGAAATTGAACAAACATAAAAAGACTTCAAAAGAGGACTGATGCTTTTAATAGCTAAAGGAATCACCTGTTAGCCATCAGAAATGCCCTCTTCTGAGACCAATGACAAGAAGAATTAACAATGGAATATTCTAATGCTTATAAACCAGGCTACTTTGAACTGAGGCTCACTGACCTTATCCAGAGCTGCCTGTACCACTGCTTCACTTTCTGTGTCCAAAGCTGACGTGGCCTCGTCCAGCAGCAGGATCTTGGGGTTGCGGACCAGGGCACGAGCGATGGCGATCCTCTGCTTCTGTCCGCCACTCAGCTGGGCCCCTCTCTCTCCAACCAGGGTGTCAAATTTCTACCACACAGAAAACACAGAAGGATTTAGCAAAAGAACGAGCTATTTACCAATCCCATAAACGGCCTAAACCTCATAGGCAACACAATCCAGTTCTTTAAACCTTAGAAATAATCAGTCCCAATTTAAAAAGTATACACACACACACACACACACACACACACACACACACACGCCTGCTACTAGTCCATACTGCCAGAACTTTCAAATCTGGACCAATCTTGATTTCCCTTCTTAGGAAGTTCCTCCAATTTACAGCCATCCCCTAACTTCCTATGTATTAGGCCAGAATTCTAGTCTTTGCCCCTCTAGAACAGCAAAGGTCAAGAACAACTTACATGAGGCAGTTTCATGATGAAGTTATAGGCATTGGCTTCCTTGACAGCTTTTTCAATCTCCTCCATGGTGACATTTTCACGGCCATAGCGAATGTTTTCAGCTATGGTGGTGGCAAACAACACAGGTTCCTGACTCACCACGCCAGTGATTTCCCGCAGATATCTTACATTTATGGTCCTAATGTCCTGTCCGTCAATACTGACCTGAAATAAAAAGCGTGACTTTCAAAATTGGTAGCTGAAATTATAACGTTAGAATGATCTGCAATGGTAACGGCTGATTGCTGCAGGGTGTAGCTCAGCACGGGCCATCTCACCACGCCCTCCGCGGGGTCATAGAGCCTCTGCAACAGCTGCACCGTGGTGCTCTTCCCACAGCCACTGTTCCCAACCAGGGCCACCGTCTGCCCACTCTGCACCTTTAGGTTGAGGCCCTTTAAGATCTGCCAAGACAAATGAGAAACAAACTTTCAGGCAATTCACAGATACAGGGTATATGAACTAACAGTTCAATTCCATATTGGGTTTAAATATACATGTATTTCTTTTTCTTTTCTATTTTTTTTTTTTTTTACAATCTCTAAAGAAAAGTATCAGAAATGCTTCATCCAAAGACTGTTTAATCATTGATTATTTATCACCATACCTTAACATCTTTTCGAGATGGGTAACTGAAGTGAACATTTCTGAATTCCAAATTTCCCTTAATATTATCTGGTTTGTGCCCAGTCTTTGAATAGCTGTCAATGCTTGGCTCCTAAACAAAATCAAATTTTAGGAGATTACTAGGTCACGATAACTACTTTTAGTGACATTTTGTGGAGGGATGGATAAAGTGATAAAGAAATCGATTCTTAACTAGAAAATCTTTTAGACAGATGGATAAGTGGCCAGCTCAGACTTACATTATCAATTATCTTGAAGATTTCATAAGCTGCTCCTCTTGCGTTTGCAAATGCTTCAATGCTTGGAGATGCCTGTCCAATACTAAAAGCCCCAATTAATACAGAAAAGAAGACCTGAGGAATGTGAAGGAAAACCATCAAGTTACTTAAACAGTGCTAGTACAATATTTTTCATACTTCCTTTCTTCTTCTAATATAGCTTATTAAATTTTAAAATGGTAAGGCAACTTATGAATACAGAGTATTAAAGATATTTTTAAAGATTTTAACAGAGCAAATGTTAAATGTATCACCTCAAAAAATGTCAAGTGAATGAGGTGAGGGATATGTTAATTAACCTGATTTAATCACTCCACATTGTATACATATATCAAAACATCACATTATGTTTTGTATTCATAAATGTACTATGATTATAATTTGCCAATTAAAAATAAGTAAAAAATATTAAAATATTTTAAAAGCTTAAATACTTTTCAGTTTAGAATGCAGAATTAGTTTTACTTGCTCAATGAAACAATAGTATGAGTTCTACAGGACCAGAATATTATAATAGAATATTTTTATATTTCTTCAATATCTAAGAATTTTTATTTAGATAATCAGCAGGCTAAGGTGGAAAGAAACAAACACTAGAAGGACCATCAGAAGATCCAAGTTAAAATCCTGGATTATTACTAATTGGTTATATATCTTTAGGCTATTCTCTCAGAATCTTTGGGCTTCAATTTCTTCATTTGCAAAAACAGGCAAGAGTCTATTTGTTCTCCCTACCTAAGCTTTCTTAGACATGTTGTATCATGATGAAACAGTGTATATGAAAATACTTTGTAAATTACAGAGCACACACACCTCAGGCACAATTCTTTAACAGGTTAAGTCTTTTTCTCCACCTATCAGAGTGTATTGTCTTTGAGGTCTGATAAACTGGTTTTTTATTTTGTATCAAATCAGTTTTTTATTGATAAAGACTTAACTTTGTTTCTCTTTGGGGTTAAAGAGAACTAATGTCACTATTCATTCTTTCACGTGGGAATTATATTGCCCAATAATTTACATAGAAAGAACTTTGCTAAGTGATTATTTATTTATTTATTTATTTATTTATTTAGAGACAGAGTCTCACTTTGTTGCCCAGGCTAGAGTGAGTGCCGTGGCGTCACCCTGGCTCACAGCAACCTCAATCTCCGGGGCTCAGCGATCCTACTGCCTCAGCCTTCCGAGTAGCTGGGACTACAGGCATGCGCCACCATGCCCGGCTAATTTTTTGTATATATATTTTTAGTTGGTCAATTAATTTCTTTCTATTTTTGGTAGAGACGGGGTCTCGCTCAGGCTGGTTTTGAACTCCTGACCTTGAGCAATCCGCCCGCCTCGGCCTCCCAAAGTGCTAGGATTACAGGCGTGAACCACCACGCCCGGCCTGATTCTATATTTATTATCTCAATCAGTCCCTACAACCCCAACAAAAGTTAGGGAAAACTATTTCAGTCACGTCCACTTGGCAGAAGAAGTTAACAGAGGCTAGAAAAGTTTAGGTGGCTGTTCCAACTTATGCAACTAATAAGTGGTTCAAGCTGGAATTTGAATCAAGTTGGTCTGATTATCAAATCTCTCATTCACTATTCTGGATGCTTCCAGTTTGGGAGACAGATCTGGGTTCTGTGAATACCATATTTAAACTGCTTATCTACATCAAAATTAAACAGAATACATCTCTTATCACAACCCAGGCTTACCCACAGAATGACTATTCTAAAAAAAAGGTTTTTGGTAAAAGCCATTCCTGACCGAACAGCCTCAGGAATGGCTATTACCAAAGCCAAAGATGGATGAGGGAATTGAAAACACAAGAGAGACAATTATTGAGCCACTTATTAGTTGCATGAGTTAGTTGCATTAGTTCTCTTTAACCCCAAAGAGAAACAAAGTCAAGTCTTTATCAATAAAAAACTGATTTGATACAAAATAAAAAACCAGTTTATCAGACCTCAAAGACAATACACTCTGATAGGTGGAGAAAAAGACTTAACCTGTTAAAGAATTGTGCCTGAGGTGTGTGTGCTCTGTAATTTACAAAGTATTTTCATATACACTGTTTCATCATGATACAACATGTCTAAGAAAGCTTAGGTAGGGAGAACAAATAGACTCTTGCCTGTTTTTGCAAATGAAGAAATTGAAGCCCAAAGATTCTGAGAGAATAGCCTAAAGATAGTACAAATAGCCTAAAGATAGTACAAATCTGGTTCCTGAGAAAGGCAGCTGTTTTAAGGGACTCAACAAAATATCATCGCACATTAACTCAATATACTTCTAACTTGCCTCTGCAAATTGCACTAGGTGACTCTTCTAACAGTATGCACTTTATTCGATCAAGATACAGATTGAGCTTGGTTTGCAATCATTTCATTGTCTTTAAAATAAAAAGAGGATAACATCAAATGGCAAGTTATCTGTGCTTGTACAAAGATCTATAATGCAGAAAACTTCCAAATAGAATATTCTTTTAGAAGAGGAATCATTTTTACTTCTATAATTTGTGAAGTACATTAGCTGTCATTCAAAAAATCTGAAATGAAGTTAAACTGTGTATTTTGCCATTTTTTGCAAATCAAGAAATAAAAGTGAAGAGTTTAGAACCAAGTTTGGCCCAGAGAAATAATCTCAACAAATGAAAAGTTCATGCTATAGAGAGATTGGTAATGTTAATATTATTTAGGCTACAGGAGAAATTGTGCAAGAGATCTGTAAAAAGGACAAAACTGGCTGTTGGATACATCTAATTATCTTTCCACTTTTTAACCTAGTAGTATATGTCTCTTTGTAGTAATCAAAAGTTGTTCAAAATATATTTTTCTACTGAAGTCAACCAACCTCATTTGATTTCACTGGCATTTTTAACAATGATTCATTTCTTAATATAACATCACTTACAGTGAGTACTTGTCCAATAGAATATTCATTTGAGATGACCAAGGTGGTCCCATACCAGAATGCCAGAGCATATGATGCATAGATCAGCAGAAAAGCAGCACCAATAGAAATATTGGCAGTAATAGCTTTCTTTATCCCAATTCTTTTAGCTTCTTCTAAGTTTTTGTTGTATCTGGGAGAAAAAACAAAAATGATCACCATATACTCAGAAATCTTACGAAAATGTATCAATGTAGAATGAAGGTTATTGAGGAGTTAGGATGTGCCCAGCCCTGTGGTATACATGTATTTTCTCCTTTTGCCCATATATTGACCTTATGAGGTTAATACTATTCCATTCCTGCAGAATAGGAAACTGAGGCTCATGGAGATTAAGATATTTATGGGGAGTCTTCTAAAAGTTTCTCCTCTGGCTTTAGCAACAGTAAAATAAGTGAAGCAATACTTAGCAAACTTCTAGAACTTGCATTGTTTCATAGACAATACTAAATAGAAGACATGAAAAAAATGTGTCTTCCCTTCAAAATCTTTAATAATATGAAGAGGTAATGTTAGTGCTAAGCAAGACTAAGTCATTTAAATATTCTGAAGCTTTGGAGACAGTTTACCCCATGTTCTGCCTAACTCTGGGACTGCTGGAAGGACCAACTAAGCTGTTACATGTGTGAGAGCATTCTGAGAGCTTTGAATTGCCATGTAATACTTCTTATACTTAAATAAGCCCTATGACTTATCTTATTTCCATAGACATTTATTTTAAAAATCACTGACCTGTAAAAATTACTGGGCTTAAAAGTGTATAATAGTCTAGCACTATACATCAGCACCCCCTTCCTTTTCCTTTCTACATATTGCCTACATTTCCTTCCCTCTGTTAATGCTCCATAACATTTGTCTTGCCAGGGCTTCCTGCTACTGGAGTAAGGGGCTCTGGCCTGGTGGTTCAGGCCACCCGAAGCTTTCCAGCTACCCAAGAGCTGAGAACAATAAAAATCTCAGCACATCTCTACCTGAATCCATTCACAGCACAAAAAGTCTACCCTACATTAGCCAAACTTGGAGAGTACCCTTTACTACTTCTTAGAGCAAATACAGGCAATGCACAATGGGAGCAAAGACAAACAAGCAAACACAAAACCCAGAAACAATGTCAGAGTCCACTGACAGAGTTTCTTTCTCCAGTTCTGATGACTTAAAACTTATTCCCAAATGACAATTCAAGTACTTTTCAAACCCTCAGAGAGTGGTCAATTTCTGATGTTCAAAGTAAAGGAGATGGTATCTATACCTTCCTTACCTTCATTTGAAAGGAGCCCAGCAGACTATTTTACTTAAGAAGAAAGATGTGGATATAAACTAATGGGGCCCAGAGTTAAAGAAAAATAGGGTACTTTGCAAATATAGAACCAAGGGGTAAAACCATTAGAGAAATGGGACAGATTATAACTGAGCCTTAAATCTTCCTTTTATCTTCTTAAGCACAGCTTTCTGAAGAACCTAGAGTACTGCCTTGCAGAAAGAAGGAGCTCATAAGAATTTACTTCCATATGGAATTCATATTTTGAGGTCTTTGATCCATAAAATTCATGACTATATAAATACTATGTAGTATATATTAATTTTCTTTAAAGGAGTCATTCCACTACAAGAGTTCAAGCCCTGCCCAGATATAAGCATGCATCCTTTCTTGTCTTCATAACTACCCTAACTACTTAAAACACCACAGTTACAAATCATGCCAAATGAAATTTACATGACATGTCCACTAAAGACCAAATTTAAACAGAACTTTATAGTGCCAAAATATTAACACACTATTAGAGTTTTTACCTCCCAAAATGTAAATCCCCAATTTGTTAGTTATAATCCTTGAACAAAAAAATTATTTTTGAGAAACATGTTTCAATGGTTGAGATATATCTGTATAGATATTCCATTTGTACAGATATAGAGATATATCTCCTAATTTGTGAGTTGGTCTGAGATGAGAGGTACTATTGGGCATAAGTTATACACGATTACATTTAAGGAGCTTCAATGTACATGTCTCATACTCTCTTATCTCCTTTATTTCAGTTCTTGCTTACCAAGACTAACGCAGAAACCAATATGATGTTGTCCCATGCAGCCAGAGGAAACATTTGCACAGGAAAAAGCAACGAAAAAGAAAAAAATCATTTAGATACCAGAAAAGATAAATGAAGTAAAGAAAAGGGTAAGAAAGGAGGACATACAAACAATACTCTTTTTCAATAAGCTTTTTGATTAGTTTTTCAATAAAACTGTCACACAGATAAAACCAGGTATTAAAATGATTCATTTACTAAAAGCTTTAGTATAGAAATAGTAATTAAAATATGTTCCTAAAATAAAGTTATATTTTAAAAACTGATATTTAGAAAATATTATTATTCTTAAATATTATGAAAATATTTACCAGTAATGTAAGTAGCCACTTATAAAAGCAAGGAACAGTGTTGGTTAAGCAAATAGAATCAATACTAGTAGATAAATATATTTGCCAGATGCACATACAAGAGAAAAATATTTTTTAAATTAAGGAGCACAAAACTATTCTATATTACTAAATTAAATTCATTTTAACTTCTGGTTAAATTTCCATTCCAAGAGAGCCAGCTTCCTCCTATACCCGCTAATCTGAAGAGAAAGATTAAGACCTCAATTACCTGTCATTGTAGAAGTGGAGAAGGACAGAAAGAGAAAACTGAAAGATTATGTTTGATCTACAAATTGTCTTATTAATTCTACTTCCAAATTATATCCCAAACCTAGGTACCTGTCACCCCTTGCCTGCCTCAGCTTTAGATCAGGCTACGGCAAGCCCTCTGGCCTGGACAACCGTGTCAACCTCCCCTGATCCCATGCTTTGAATGTTCTCATCCACTCACAAGGCCGTTACAGACACCAGTGATCTGAAAACACAATGTGGATAGTCATTCCCCTGTTTAATACCTTCAACTCCTTCCCTGTCCCAACTCTTCACCATGGCCTACCATCCCCATATTCTAGCCCCTGCATGTCCCAACTTCCCCTCACTCAACTGAGTTCCAGTTACACTAGCCTTATGTTTCCTAAAACATACCAAGTATTTGCCACCTCAGGACATTTGAAAGACTCTTGTTCCAACAGGTCCTGTCCCTGCCTCCAACATGGCATGCTTTTCTCATCCCTCAGGTCTCAGCCTAGATGAAACCTCCTCAAGGAGGCCTTCACTGGCTACCATATTTAAACTCTTCCTACCCATCATCACATTCTTTGATTCTTTCAGAGCACATCACTAAATCTATAATTTATTTCATTTCTTTGATGATTCCTTCCGTATCTTCCTTCCCTCCTTTCCCCATTCTTTCCCTTTTTAGCCATTTTGCTATTTTGACTGAGGACCCCACAAGGATTGACATCCTCTATTTCTGATTCATGAATGAAAACTCAGAGCCAAGCACAGTGCCTGCCATGTAGTAGGTGCTGGATAAATCTGCTGAATGAATGCACTTTTAAGAAATGGCCAACTGGGAGTCCATAAGTTTGTAGACTTGTGTCCACTCTTGATCTCCAAGCAAAACTAATTTCAATTTTCCAGAGAAGAATGTCCTTTCAAATATACATTCAAGGAGCTCATAATGTTCTGAAGAAATGATTCCACACACAAAATGAATCTCTGAATATAGCTGTGAAAGCCTATTTTCTTACAGTAAAACTTGATCAACATCTTCTCTAGGAAAAATTTTTCTGTATCTAATCAAAGCACTCCATTAAAAGAGTCTCAGTCCCTTTAAACTTTTAATGAATTAAAATTATCAGATTTATCTAAGTTATGAATATTGGACTTACTCTCATAATGTCCTTTCCCTCCTTACCCAGGCTACATCACATACGTCATTATAGTTTTTGTTGCTATATTGTCATATTTCTCAAATATAACATGTCACTAATGGTAAGTACTATTATTCTATTATTTTACGTAGCATTAAGAAAGGAGTTTAGGCCGGGCGTGGTGGCTCAGGCCTGTAATCCTAGCTCTCTGGGAGGCCGAGGCAGACGGATTGCTCAAGGTCAGGAGTTCAAAACCAGCCTGAGCAAGAGCGAGACCCCGTCTCTACTATAAATAAAAAATTAGCCGGGCATGGTGGCGCATGCCTGTAGTCCCAGCTACTCGGGAGGCTGAGGCAGAAGGATCACTCGAGCCCAGGAGTTTGAGGTTGCTGTGAGCTAGCCTGACGCCACAGCACTCACTCTAGCCTGGACAACAAAGCGAGACTCTGTCTCAAAAAAAAAAAAAAAAAAAAAAAAAAAAAAAAAAGAAAGGAGTTTAATAGCACATCCCATATACAGCTAGGACCCGAAGGGCTATAGCCTCAGTATAATAACACATGTGCCACATGAAAAGAGACAGCAGAACAACTTACAGGTCTCAATTTTGGCACCAACTAGCTAAAGGAAGGAAAACCAACCTCGTCTGAGAATATGAACTATAAGGCATGACTCCCGCAGGTCTGAAGTGTGAGTTCACGCTACCTGTGGTCCAAAACTCCTAGACACAGAATTTAACGTAAGGTGGTCTCAGGTTGGTAGCATCCTTGGTGAATAGCAGAAGCAAACTTAAAAGCTGTATAGAAGAGCTGGACTTCAATCCAGGCCTGTAGCAACTGTAAGACAACACTGATTGCTGGATTTATTCCAAATTCAGAGATGAAGAATTGTAAGGGGAAAGTGCACTTCTCAGAATTGATGAAATACTATATATTTTCTAATTGCTCATTGCTGTTTTATAGGACTGACATTTATTCTGAATAGTGATAGGTATCTAGAGACCTTACTGTATTAACACTTTGCTAGATTGTAGAGTCTACTGAAATTTCTATGTAGATCATCATGTCATCTATGGATAATGATCATTTTGCTCCCTGTTTTCTAATCCTTATAGCTTTTATTTCTTTTTTGATTTATTTTTATTATTCTTACTTATTTGTTGTCTTGGTCTTATTATCTAATACTTGTATAATACTAAATAGAATTGATGCTAGCAGACATATTTGTCTCATTCATTTTATTTTTTAAATTGACAGATAAAGTTGTATGTACTTATTTTAAGTGTTAAAATGCTTTTAACATTTCACCATTAAATCTATGTCCTTTGGGTCTCTAGTATATTAAAAAGGTTATTTTTTATTCCTAGTTTTAAGAGTTTTTGTCATGAATTGTATATAATTAATGCTTTTCCCTGTATGTAAAAACAAAATGCTTCTTTCTTTCAATCTGTTAACATGGTTAATTATATTAACAGATTTCCTAATATTAAACCGTATTTGGATTCATAGGATAAAGCCAACACATTCGGAATTTTTAAAAATCTGATATTTTTCACATGTATTTGTTTAGCTAATAATTTATTTAGAATTTCTGCATCTATATTTTAGGTAGAACTGCCCTTTCATTTTTCCTTTCTCATATTATACCTATCTGGTTGTGGTATCAAAATAACATTAGCCTTCATTAGTTCATTAGTTGAACTCACAACTTTTTTTCCCATCTCTACAGCAATTTGTGTAAGATAGGGTTATCCCTTTCTTGAAGCTTTGGTAGAACTTTCCTATAAAATTATCTAGACTTGGGAGGGGGGTGCTGCTTGTTTGTAGGGGGCAGCAGAAGACGGAGGAGATTTTTAACTTTGAATTCAACTCTTTTCATGCTTATGGGTTTACTCAGGCTTTCTTTTTCTTCAGTGAGGGTTTTAACCTATTTTTCTAGGATATTGTCTGTATCATCAGGGTTTTAAAATTTATTGGTATAAACTATAATTTTAAAAATAGATTTTAAAAAATCTCTAGCAAGCTTTCCTTATTCAGTTTTTTTGTTTTTGACTAAACTTACAAAATACTTGGTCATTTATTAGTCATTTCAAGGAATTAGTTTATGGACTTGTCAAACCTCTACTTTTTTATCTTTAATTTTCTATTAAGTTAATTTTTGCTCTTACTTTTATTCTTTCTTTCTAATGCTTTATTGCTCTTTTTCTACCTTCTTAATTTAGATGTTTAATTCATTAATTTTTAGCAATTTTTAACTGATTTTACCAGACACTCTGGTATCACTGGACTAGAACTCATTTTTAACATGAAATCCTCAGCTTTGGGAAGAAAGAATTTCTCAGTCCACAGATTAGTGTCATTTCAGATCCCAATCTCACGTGGGGGGCCAGGCCTGAGACTTTTATTTTATGAGGAGATGTTTTCTCCCCAGCTCAGCAACCAGGCAGAAGCAGATAAGCTTTGTTCGTCTCCCCATTCTGTTGGGTAATTTTTCTGGTCCACCCCTCCTCTGATGAAAACTGAAAAAGAATCTCAAATTTAAAATTTCCTTCTGTCTCTACTCAAATATTAACTACTCAAATATTAACTAATCACAAAGGATTTTTCTGAATAACTTCTCTAAATATTCCATGGTTCTCTTATTTTATTTCCCTAAACAGTACCTGATATGACTCAAGTATTCTATTTCCCCAAATAATATTTACCCCCCAACTGGCATATTAGATATTTGCTTATTTGTGGTTGTCTATACTCTTCCTCTCCCCTGTTAAAATTTAAGCTCCATAAGAGTAGGGGCTTTATGTATTGGACGTTTTCCCCATCATAAACAGGACTTCTCATTTTATTAGTCAGAAATGCTTTAAAGCAAAAGCAAAAACCTTAGCAAAAACTGAAATAGAACATAGATACTGCTTTCCTTTGAACTATGGCACTTAGCCATCACAAATTACACTCAAAGGATATCTTTGTGGGTGTAAAAATCTATCATATGAACAAAAGAGTACTCTAAACAATATGTACAGTTTAAAAGATAATTATTCGTGAATACTCATATGTGTACAGCTGAAGTCAAGAAACAGAACACTGCTAGAGCTACAGATACTCCTGCCATGTGTCCTGCTTTTGTCACACGGCTTCTCGTCTTCCCTAGAGATAGCCATTACTTACAAAAATCCTCTTCCTTGTCTTTATGGCTTTATCATACAATGTATACCCCCAAAACAATATAGCCTACTTTTTCCTACTTTCAAAAAATATATATTTATAACATTAAAATATATCAGAATATTATAATTTCTATTCAATTTAAATAAAGTCTGTTACTGTTGGAAATCAAGAGCTCTGATCAATTTTATAAACTTCAAAAAATTAACATCCATACACTCATAAATCTAATAAAAGGGAACAGTTGCAAGAATAATACTAAACACATAGTAAAAAAGATTTTAAACTTTTGTACAAACGTGCTTTTTTGATTATATTTTTATCTTCCAAATCATGGTGCATAACTCAACTGAGTAGAGGCCTGGGCAAAAGAGGAAATGAACCACAAATTAAAATGTCCCCATAGATCTTACACAAAATACTCATTCAATCTTAGCAAATCAAGAATTAACTTGATAGGCAGAAAAAAAATCTTAAGAGATATAAAATACATTTCAGCCTTAGGAAACTATTTTTATGTCATTGCCTATCTAGAAAATCCTTTCAATTAGCAAGATATGAGAAAAGAACAATTAGAATTGCAGCTTCTCCATAATATTAGTTATGCAGTAATATACCCATTAAGCTATATATACAGATCTCGAAGAAAATGTTTATAATGAATACAGTCAATATGAAGGGCATTTGAGTTGGCATAGAATTTAACATTTCTATCAACTTAAAGAAGAAACAAACCTTTCAAGTTCTTTCTTTTGTCCTCCAAATGCAATCACAGTTCTAATTGCTGCTAAAACCTCTTCAGCTACTGCTCCAGCTTTTGCATATGCAAAGAGTTCTTTATCAGTAAATGAAGATAATATCTGTTTAAGAAATACAACTTCAGATTACTTAAAATTTTTTAACAAGTTAACTTTATATTTTGTAAAGTAAAAATAAACATATACACAAATGTGCTTATATGTTAAGGTATGTATAGAACAAAACTTTTTTACTTGTCTTTGATCAGGATGCTCCATTTTTTAGTATTCATATTAATATATATATATATATTTTTTTTTTTTTGCTGTGTAAGTGCCTCAAATTCTTTTTGGACTGAGATAGTATATAATAAATTAGATTACTTGAAAATTTTATTTTCCCACTGAAAACCTCATAGATCCTCATTCAAATAAACATAACCAGAACTTTTGGGAAATGTTAAATTTCAGAAAAGAAGGTACATACTACTGTACTATAATAATAAGCAAATAAGAAAACAGGCATAAGAAAATAGTGTGTGTGTGCTCAATGCAGCAAATGCTAATGGTACTCTGGTTCAGAAGTGTCCAGGTGGGAGGCCAGAAGAATGCAAGGGACCAAGTAAGTATGGTGACATGATTTCAAGAAGGTTGGCGTGCCAGGATAAGCAAAGAGTTTCCTCTGCTGGTGCTCTTGGGCAAAACAATGCATGCAGCCACCAGGGATCTTTGTTTCCTGGGTGCTCTTTGATCCTTCTCTTTGGTTCCTGAACATTTATTCTGTGGATGGAACAGTACTGGACGCAATATATACTAATTTGTTCTTCTCAGCTGCACAGTGAAGTAGGTATTATTTCCCCCACTAGGCATATGAGGAAATGGAGGCATGAAGAAATTAAATAATTTGTTAATAAGGGGAATATCCAGGATTCAAGCCTGAGTTAATAAGGCTTCAAAGCCTGACTTAGCAGCCACTAGAGTAAATCTCTCTCAGAAACCAGCCACTGACATGTGAACTTGGGTCCCAGAGGGCCCTATTATGAAAGCTGGATCAATCGTTATGGGCAAAGGACTAAGGTTACCACTTGTACCTGGAATGCTGAGTGGTCAAACATCTAAATAAAAATTACGCACAACCAATTTATTTAAAAATTCTGATTCAACAGGATTACACTCTTTCAATAAATAATTCACAGGCATTTGTGGACTAGTTTATGTAACACTAGTCTATTCCTTCTTGGCATAAAAAGCTCAACGTTGTTTTGATTTTAACAGAGCATTTCTCCCCTTTCTGTGCACGAAAGTAAAAGGAGATATTATAGATACAGGAATGGGTGGATGAAGGCAGATAAACACTGATTAACTATACTCGGTGAGCAGACATTGTGCTGCATGTATCTCTCCTCTTTAATACCCAGAACCACATCCCATCGATTCACTAGAGCTTCCTGACTCCTCAAAGCAACCTTCCAAGGGTTTCCTTGCCACAATCATTCACAGTGCTTGGTCTGAGTCAGGGTGGTCAACACCAACCCTGATCAAACAGGTCTGCAGAACAGAGGTGGCTCATGCAACATGTTCTAGCAATGTTTCTCTGCTCCTTCTGAAACCTCATGGGGCCACAGTAATTGCCCACACTAGGGCAGCCAACAGGAATATTACCAAGAAATATTTCTGAATAAGTTCAAAAAAATATGCTATTTTAATTTATTGCTAATATATCAAGTACTACACTGATTCAACAAATTTGGCTCATTTTTCCTTACACTAACCCATCTCTTCTTCCAAAGGCTGATAATTTTAATAAGGCTAATTAGCATTAGCTTGAGATATATAAAATTGTTACTTCTATAACTTAAAAGCTGTCTGATATAGGCAATTTTGTATTGTACAAACTAATATATTCAGAAGCAATATTTTGGACTACTACAGGAATTTTGACCTATATCTTTATGCTATTTTTTCATTTATCAATGTAGGTTTTTGTTCTGAGATCATTTTAAGTGCTTTTTTTTAACTTTTTGTTTTGAGATAATTGTAGACTCACATGTAGTTGTACAAAACAGTATGAGATCCCATATACCCCTCCATCCAGTGTCTCTCAATAGTAACACCTTGGAAACTACAGAACAGCATCCCAACCAGGAATTTAACATTGATATAATCCATCAGTGCTATTCGGATTTAAAACCAGTGTTACCATACACTAATGTATGTGTGTGTATTTAGTTCTAAGTAATATGATCAGCTATGAAGATTCCTGTGACTACTACCACAGTCATGATGCAGAACAACTGTCATGAGGATCCCTCATGCTACCTTATTTATTATTTATTTTTAGAGACAGGGTCTTGCTCTGTTGCTCAGGCTGGCATACCATGGTGTGATCACGGCTCATTGTAAACCTTGAACTCCTGGGCTCAAGTGATCCTCTTGCCTCAGCCTCCCAGGTTGCCTCAGCCTCCTGAGTAGCTGGGACTACAGAACAGGTGTGCACCACCAACTTTAAATTTTTTTTTTGTAGAGATGGGAGTCCTTCATGATACCATTTATAACCACAGCCACCTCCATCCCCACCCCTTGCCTCTCCTCCTCTCCCCCATCACCCTTAAGTCCTAGCAACCATTAATCTGTTGTCCTATCTATAATTTTATCATTTTGAAGATGTTATATAAATGGAATCATATGATATATAACACCTTTTGGGATTTTATTTTTCACACAATATAATTCTCTGGAAATTCATTCAGGTTGCTGCATGTATCAATAGTTCTTTCCTTTTTATTGTTGGGTAGTTTTCCATGGGATGTCTATACCATGGTTTCCTTAACCATTAAACTGTTGAAGGAAAGCTGGATTGTTTCCAGTTTGGGGCTAGTATGAATGAAGCTGCTATAAACTTTTATATATAGGCTTTTATGTAAACATAATTTTATTTTCTCTTAGATAAATGCTCTGCAATATAGTTGCTGGATTGCATGGTAATTGCAAGTTTAGTTTTATAAGAAACTGCGAAACTGTTTTCCAGAGTGGCTGTACCATGTTATATTCTCACAAGCAATCTGTCGGTGATCCTGTTTACCTACATTCTTTCCAGCATTTGGTCTTTCATTATGTTTTATTTTAGCCATTCTGATGTGTAGTGATAGCTCAATGTGGTTAATTTGCATTTCACTTATAGCTAATGATGCTGAACAACTTTTCATGTGTTTACTTGCCATCTACATACCCTCATTTCATTCCTGAAATGTCTGTTCTTGTCTTTTGCCCATTCTCTAATTGGATTTGTTTTTTTACTGTTGAGTTTTGAGAGTTCTTTATATATTCTAGATAGTTCTTTGTCAGATATATGGTTTCCATATAATCTTTTCCTGGCCTATCACTCGTCTCTTCATTCTCTTCACATGCGCTTTCACAGAGTAAAAATTTTTAATTTTGATGAAGTATAATTTATCAAGTTTTACTTTTAAGGATCATGCTTTTGGTGTCAAGTCTAAGAACTCTGTCCAGGCCCAAATCTCAAAGATTTTCTGTTTTTTCCCCCTAAAATTTTATAGCCCTATGTTTTATATTTAATTCTGTGATCCACTTTGAGTTAATTTTTATATAAAATATGAGGTTTAGGTTTGTTGTTGTTGTTGTTAACTCCAGCACTGTTTATTGAAAAGGCTGTCATTCCTCCATAAATTATTTTTTCACCTTTGTCAAAAAGCTGGGCATATTTGCATACGTCTATTTATGGGTCCTCTATTCTGCTTCATTTATCTACGTGTCAGTCCTCTACCAATACCACAGTCTTGATTGCTATAGCTATATGGTAAGCCTTGCTTCACTTATTCTTCTCATTTTCTTCTTCTTTGTCAAGATTGTTTTAGCTATTCTAGGACTCAGGCTCATGGGGAAAAAGAGGCTTCCCAGACTGGGCTACATTTCTTTTTTAATATAGCTGTACACCAGGGGATTTAAAAATTAGTTTGAAATCATGCCAAAAGTTTATGGCAGAGTAGGGATTAAAACTTAGGTAATTAGCAGTCAGCCTAGGGCTCCCTTTACTAAATAAATAGTATCTGAGGCAATGGATAATTAATTATTAAAAGATTAACTTAGGGACTGGTTTTTTTTTTATCTTAACTAGAGTGGACATCAATACATTTTAAATAGTTTTTCAATGAAGACTGATCCTAAGAGCTTGCCACCCAACTTGCTAAATATTCTAGCATACAGACAAATCAATTAACGCCAGGAAGCTTTTGCCAAATATTTGTTAACTGATAACAACTGGGAACATATTTAAACCTTGTGTTACTCTGAGCAAAAAATTAACAGTCCTCAGAACTTTTCTTTCTCTATAAAATGAGATTATATCTACACTCAGAAAAATAACATATACATAGATGCCTGACATAGTAGATGCTCAATAAATGATAGTTATTGTTTATAATAACAAAACAACATCCATCCTATGGGGTAAAATTGCTTAATACTTACAGCCTGACTTATTTTGCATTAGGCTCGGCTTCGGTTGCCCTTTCATTACTTAACATCCTTTTGCTACGTGAATTTGTAGTGCATTCTCTCAGTTGTGTTGAACTCAACAAAGATTATGTACTAGGTCAATCTCTACCACAAACCCACTCCTACATCAAATCAGTCTAAAATTATTAACAACATCATGTCCACCTTGAAAGGGAAAATAGGTTTTACAAGATCATTGGAGGTATGTGTGCAGAGGTAGAGAATGCTACTTCTGCTTTGCCCTTAAAATGAGAGAGAAAACTGGAGACTAAGGATTTATGTAAACATGGGCCTAGAAAGTACCTATTTTCTTAAATTATTTTCATAACAATGAATTTAAATGTGTATAACTGTAGAACCATTTACAATATTTACCAAACTATTAAATCAATTTACAAATTAAACAAAATCTATAAAACCAGTAACATTAAAATTTTGAAAACATTAATTGACTGGGACATGTGTGCTGTTTCAAGTTCACTGAACTTGAATCTCTACTTATTATGTGAATAGGGCATCATCTGCTACATAGCACAGCTCCTTGAAGTTTGGTAAGGTTTTGATTTTTTTAAATGAAGGCAGAAGATGAAATATTAGAGTTATTTCCTCTTTGCTCATCCCTTCCCCAAAATAATCCATGATGGCCAAGAACATCATAAAGTCCCAGCAAGCCTGCACCCAGTGAGGCTGGATATGTTCATCAAGCAGATTTTGAACAGAAAATTTAATCAAGGTCATGACGTGGTTAAAAAAAAACCCTTCCACTGAAGGAGGGGCTACAGTTCAAAATCTGGATTCACAGGCTTTACCTACCTTTGCCCAGATAGCAGCTGACAGTCCAAGAACAGGACTGATGGCCAAAATCACAAGGGTCAGCTTCCAACCACGTGTAAATCCTACTATAAAACCAGTGAAAAATGTTGCCATTGACTGAAACAGAATTCCGATTTTGTCACCAATTCCTTCATTAATTTTGGAGACATCGCTACAAGAATAGAGTTAGAAATAAATGTCAGAATTATAAACACAGAACTTTTCCCTTCAAGCCTGTTTTGTTTCGCTTTAAGTGTGGGTTAGTTTATATCTAGGGTCTCTGGTATATATGTGATTGTTTTATTTGTCAGGGTGTACATTTCTAGTAGGATATTTGTTATTAACAACAACAATCTTTAAGTTGCTAGCAGAATATTTGTCATTAACAACAAAAATCTATGGTCCACTCAGCCCCAGGATGTGGGCATGGAGTGCTCAAGAATTGTTCAACCTAGAAATTTAAAATTTGTTGGAAATTTCCCCAGAAAGCATCTCGTTATTGCTGTACTGCACATTCTCAGAGGATTTCTTCATTCCAGCAAAGACAAATCCCTCATTCAGTGCTAGTCATGCAGGTCCCCTCATGCCCTGATGGGGCTGGGAACCCAAGGATGCATAAGATATGGCTGCTGCTCAGAAGGAATTTCGTCTCATCGTTACTTCTGAGTGACACCCTAACACCTCCCAACAGATGTGATGACATGTATTTCATTTTATTAAGAATAAGAACCACATCCAAGTTGAACATGAAACTAGGTACTTACTCTGTGAGCCGGGTGTTAAGTTCCCCAACATCATGCACATCAAACCAGCCTATTTCCTGTCTCATTATAGCATGGAAAAACTGTTTTCTAATCTTGTATATTTGTCTTCCAGCTGCCAGGCACCAAAATGAAACCTGAATGTAAGCAGCAACAAGCACCCCAGCACCGATTCCACTGTAATAATAGGCATACCTGAAAAACAACGAGAACACTGCACATACTGGTTTCTGATTCATGCATCTTTCCCAAAGAAACCACACATTTTTTTATTTTTTCAGTTATCTGGGTATCTTGCCATTCTCACTAAATAAGAAGGGGTTGTAACAAGCAGTGTTGATGGTCAGTATCCAACTATATCTGCACCAGTATAGTAGAATGGTTAAGAGTGGTTTCCTGCTTTGCCTCAAATCCCAGCTCTTCACTTCACTGCTGTGTAATCTCAGGCAAGCTGCTTAACCTTTCTAAGCCTCAGTTTTCTAAATGGTAAAATGGAGATAAGAATAGTCATATAGTCATGTGTGAAATATACTTGGGCCAATGCCTGGCACACAGTAAGCACTCAGAGAATGCCAGGTACTGGGAAAGGCTGTGTGGCAAGTTGGGGGCTCACAGCATCAGGTAAGATCCACCCGTGCAGTCCTATTTTTACTGCATCAGTTGATGAGCACTTTGGGGCAGTCTTTGCACATTGGGGAATGGGAAGAAGTGACAGAACTGGTTAGAAAGTGGAACCAAGAGATGGAAATGGTCCCTTGGCCTTTGGGCTATTCATCTGGCAGAGCTTAGATACCCAGAGATAACCAAAAATTTAAAAAAGTATTTTTATATTGTCTGCCCAACTGGCTATCATGAGTTATCCTAAAATGCTTAATGAATCAACTAGTAGCCCTTCCAGTTTAAACTCTAACAATAAGAAACATAGGCACCATCTAAAACCAGACCCTTGAGCAATCTACAAATGCTGAATTAATGTTTCCTTGCTCTGAGTCTTCACATTTAGAAAAGCAAACAATTCTTAGGCCTCACAAAAAAGTTTTTAGGTTAAAGGCAAACATTTTAAGATGAAATATAGTATTCCAATATTCCCACTTTTAAAGTTCACCACTTGTCAGCTTCAAATTAAGATATGAACCATGCAGAAGATATAAAGATGGCTATACAGCAGGCAGACTTCGCTGTTATTATTCACAATTCAGTGCTCCACCTATCAGGAACCTTGGTAAACAAATCTTCCCCAAGCTACACCATGTAATTTACAATGCATTTATCATAGAAGATGTAATTAGAGCACTAAATTTTAGTTAACAGATAACTCGATAGTTAATTATTATCCAAGTGTTATAGCACTTGGTGTGGCAAGAGATATAGCGAAAAAGAAGTCTCCTTTCACAAGTAGAACTCAAGGTTTGAGAATCAGTTTATGTACTTTCAATCATCAGTGCATGTTTACCCCAAATATATTTATATTTAAGCACTTGTGATGATTACAGGACATTCTATTTCATTTTCCCTAATATAAAAAATAATGCCTCTCCACAGGCATCTTTGGGAGTATTTGTTTCTCATCTTTCAAAATATGATCAAGTATCTCTATTTTCTTTAAATCTACCATATCACTTATAGGATAATGTAGAATTATTACCTTCTGATTCACCAACACATACCTTTGGACATCTGTCATAAGCTATTCTGGGGAATAAACTTCAAAATATGTAAATCATTAACAAAAGCTTCCCCAAGGTGAGTTAAGGTTAGAGTGACTATATTTATTCTGAGATGTTTTATTTCATTGTTTAGAATCAAATGCTGAGTTTAAAGAATTCCTGTTGGCTGATAACATTATCATATCATGACTGAAAACATCTAAGAAGCGAACTAATAATTACAAGCTATTGAAAATAATGACTCTTAATTTAATTGCATTTTAAAAGTCCACTTTAAACTGCTCTAATTTCCCTGTATATGATATTCTATATTTATCAGTACATACATAAGTCTATTTTAGGCTTAACTTTAACTCTAGTACATCTTATGCAAAAATTCTTTTCCTAAAAACAGTCTACATTGTATCCTCCTAGAAAACCAACAATGGTATTGTTCTCCTCAAAACTTCGAATTTCTATTTTGATAATGCAAAATTTTAAATATTGCTACTATTTGATTATTACAGAAAAGCTTAACGATAGTAAGGAGAGTGTCTAATTACGTGGTCATTTCTTCCTCCAGACGGGCGAAGATCTCTGCCTGGGTAATGTTGGTAATACCTAAACCACCACAAAACAAACATATACCATTTATGTCTCTTTGGTCTCCATTAAAGACAAGCATATAAAAATTAATCAAACTCATTTCAGTTCATGATTTATACAAAAACAGGTCAAACTGACTCAGTTTTAATTATATGTAAGCATTATAGCATCCATTCAAATACTTCCCTCTGGTTGTGTGCCACCACACACACACACTAAATTCAATGTTGATTTGTAAGAAGAAACTCACATTTCATAAGAAGTATTCTATCAGCAGAAATACCAGCGTCCTTGAATTAAAATATTTCATAGAATATCCCTCCAAGATGCCATAAGAGAAAAATCTCTTTTAGCACTCTTGTCCTAATAAGTATCAATGCATATTTGACAATGAAGTATGTATTGAAGATCTAATACTGCATTTCCAGTTTTTATTTTCATTTAAAAACATCAAATACAAAGGATAGTGTAATAAACACCAGTGAGCTCATTACCCAACATGAGCAAATGCTAACATTTTTAGACAAAGTATATTGTAGAAGTCCTTCATAACTTGACCCCCCCACACACACAAACCCCCACACCAATAATCACTCTTCAACATTTTGGTGTGTACATTTTCAGATTTTCTTTTATGCATACACATATGCACAAATTATACACACACTTATTTTTAAGGGACAGAATAATTTACATTCAGTGGCTAATTTTCCATGTCAGTATATGTATATCTATTTTTTCAAAGTTGCATCTGTTTCAGATATCTCCAATATTTTATGGTTAGGAGCAATGCTACATTAAACATACTTGTACATACTTGTTATATATGTACATATGGTAAATACTTTATAGGCTAAATTACTACAATCAGGACTGATAGATCAAAGGGGAGGCACACTTTAACTCTTGTAGTCATTGCAAAAAGTTATGTTACAATATGAGAAGGCCTAGTTCAGATGAGTAAGATTTTGATAGGTGGTAGGAAAGAGGAGAAAAGCATATTTCTGGTGAAGTGAACAATGTGGTCAAAGTCCTTGGTATGTGTGAAGAATGCGTAAGCCAGTTTGGCTAGGGCTTGGGGTGTGTTGCATAAATGGAATGAGGCGATTATACGCATGGCTGGAAAGATAATCTGGGCCCTGCGGGTGACGTGCATGTGCACGTATGGAAGTAAAACTCAATGGAAATCAAGCAAGTGGGAGGGGGGAGGAGGGTTTGGGTAAAATCACACCTGATAGGTACAATGTACACAGCCTGGGTGATGGGCACACTTATAACTTTGACTCAAACTATACAAAAGCAATTCATGTAACTAAAATATTTGTACTCCATAATAATATTCTGAAATTAAAAGAAAAGAAAATAGAAATATTAGGCAGCATAGTAGCAGGTGCCTGTAGTCCTAGCTACATGGGAGGCTGAAGCAGGAGGATCGCTTGAGCCTAGGAGTTTGAGGTTGCAATGAGCTATGACTTGCCACTTCACTCTACCTGGGTCAACAGAGTGAGAATCTGTCTCCAAAAAAAAGTTTAACTGGAAAGGGGAAAGACTAAGGGACTTGAGCTACTACAGTTACATAGGGAAAGAGAATCTGAATGAGAATAAAAAAGGAAAGTATTAGTACTAGCAAGATTTATAGAAGAAGTTACAGGACTTAGAAACTGATGGAATGTAAGTAGAGAGAGTAAAAATTAAAAATGATCAAGATCTCAAGCCTAAGCATTTGGAGACTGCCGATGTCATGGTGGGAAATAAGAAGTCAGCAGAAAGCTGGTTTGATCAAATGAGAGAAGATTATTAGTTCAGTCTTGAACATTTTTACTTGGTAGTACCTGGCACATTCAACTGAAGATGTCCAAGAAGTATTCAGAGAGAGTTCAGATCTAAAGATTCAGGAGTCATGTGCTGGGGGAGGCCATAGCTCAATTCAGGAAGGAAAAATGCCACCTCTCCTTAGTAAGGACAGGATGACAGGTACAAAGAAAATGGTAGGAAAAGCACTGAACCCTGGGTAAAGCTACATGAAGGGGTAAGACAGAAAGCAAGGCAGTGGTAAAGAGAGGCAGAGACATGGCAGAGCAGGAGAAATCCTTGACTACTTCCCTTTATGTCAATGGAACAATAAATTTTTTCAGATGGAATTTTTATTTAAATAGGTTGTGAGGTTTCTTTTGCTCCACATTTTCAAAAATGAAACAAGATGTTGAATAATCAGGTGAAGATTTTTTTTTCCCAAATCGATCTTGGAAACCCTCTCAGTATACATTTTCATCTTCTCTGTCTAGCTAGGAAATGTTTCTAAATAGTATAAATTATTACTATTACGTATCACTACCAAATCCAGATCTATTTTCAAGTCTAACTGAAAATACTACCAATTTCCTCAATTCTAGAGATAAGGGACCAAGACAATTTAAACAAATGTTCTTTGGCAATGGTGGCTTCTAACTCTACATTCATTTATTTTCATATAGTTCAAAAAGTAAATAATTATGTTCAAGGTCCAAATTGGCTCCTTTAGGTTTATGTGAACGACTATACCATATTTATAGTTTCAGTCATCAGAAAGCAATTATAGCACCGAGTTCCTTTTATTTGTGCTCCAGGAGTGTCAAAGTGTACTAATCAGGATGAAAACTGGACATTCAGGTCCTTTGACAGATAATCTCTATTAGCCAAAGAATGAAATAAAGACATCATGTTCTTTAGACCTCCTCCAAACAACATTTTGTTCTCTTCCAATCAACTTTTATTAATTAAAAGTTCTCTGGCCTAGAAATTTTTCCTTTCTCTATGAGTTCCTCATAAAATTCCTGAGACATGTTTTCACAAAAGCAAAACTTTCAAGCCAAAATGACCTTAGGGATCATACAGACCAGTAACTTTTTACTTACGTGACTGTCAAAGGGCTACTATGCAAACTAACACAAAGAAGAATATTTGAATAGCATTCAAAAATACATGTTGTTCTCAGTGGGAAAAAGCCAGAAACTCTCTGGGCTATATAAAAACATCAGCCAAATAATCAGTATAAGTAAGCTAAACATCTAAGTATAGTATTTGTTTTAACAAAATATTTACTTAGACTCTTGAATTTCTCATCTTCTGGCTTCCAGAACCTCATTCTCTTGGTCCTCCCCACCACTTCTGACCTCTCTGTCTTAGTCTGGGGCACTGGCTCCTGCTCTCCCTCCTCCCTACACGCTGGTGTTTCCCAGAATTCCATGCACGCTCCCAGGGTGACCTCAGCTACTTTCACGGCTTCTTTGACTCCCAAACCTGTATCTGAAGCTATTCAAATCCTCTCCCTCCTCACAGTTAATGATCTGGTTCTGGTCCTCATCATCTCTTACCTCTACTCTAACAAAAGCCTCCTGACTGGTCTTTCTACTCCTATCAGGTCTTCATGTTGCCACCAGATTTTTATCTTTGGAAACAAAAATGTAATCCTATTGCTTACACAAATAACCATCAATGGCAGTCCACTGCATATAGTCCAAGATCCGTAACATGTCATATTATCCCTTTGCAAATCTTGCCACAATAGACATGTAAGAGGAAAATATTTTTTGAAATACCAACCAATGATTTTCCAGCTATTTTCTTTACCCAACACCTTTCTCATCGTTCCAGTAGCTAGAGCTCTGTGCAGTCACTGTCTCGAGAAAGGGCTGCTGCAGCATAAAAGTATGTATGTTTTTTCTTGGCTGTCCTTGAAGTGTGAGGAGGAAACTGAGCCTGACAAAATATTTTACTTGAATGTCATGAGACTAAGCTCCACCCTTTTAGACTAAAAAATATTTTCTACATGCTGAGAAGAGACAAGAATTGATGACAGCATAGGCATTGGGAGGACCCAGGAGAGAGACCTGGGACCCTGCCTCCTGCCACCTAAGGGGACCCTGGAGTGAGACCTGGGAAGGGAATGATTATGTAGTGAGTTAAGGAGATGCTTCAGGACAGCCTCCCAGCATCTCTTTGGACCAAGAGAGACACAGAAGGAATGGAATGCTACCAAAGATTCTAGGAGAAAAGAAGGAGAGTGCCTGATGGAATGCCTGCATAGAAAATGATGCTAATCATCACTTGGCCTTCACACTCCCCTGGAACCATGTAGGCCTCCCAGATATACCCAGGGAAAGGTGAGGGATACTCTAAAATAATGGAGATTAGGTTTCTGCCACATTAGCTTACTCAATGTGGAAATTATGTTATATAAAAGTTATGTCTTTTGCACACTTGGATTCTGGAATAATCCTTACATTCACTATACATTCACTGACTTACTAGTCTTCACCCTACTTCTTCATCCCTGTTCTCACCAGCTCTCCTCACTCCTGTGTAGCCCTGGCTATAAGTACACTTAGGGGGGTTGCTGTTCCTTAACTCTCCTATTCACTTTCTTCCTTCCAGACTTCATTCACTCTGCCTTCTTTACCTGGAATGCCCTTTACCAAAATTCTTCTCCCGGAAAATACTCCTTCTCCATGAATGAGCTATAATATTGCCCCTTCTCAAATGGCTTACCCCTAGCAGAGTGACTCTCCTTGTCATTGAATTACACAGTAATAGACATGTGATCCAATTTACTAAGTCAATGCTAGAAGTATAATTACTTGTATTTATCTCCTCCTACCACTCCCATTGGCGTGTGCTCATAGAAAACTGGACTATACTTTGTTTATCTTTATATGCCCAGTGCCCAACCCATTGTATCTGTTGCCACCTAGCCTATCCCAAAGATTTACAAGTGATTCCACAGAGCCTCCACATATGCCAGAACATTCCTCAAAATAGTCCATCCAATCATTCTCCTATTTTGTATATAAGTATCCCACGTATCATAAGATCACAAAGAGATGCAGCAGACCATTCTACCTGGCAAGAAAAGCCTTTTCCAAACTCAAGCAAGACTTCAAAGGAACCTGCAACTGATCTGTGCCCACAGCATGACTAAAGGCTCGGTACCATTTAGGGATACATTATGTTACGTTTTTAATCAGACCCAAATATTT